GAACCTGTTGAAAAGTTTGTGGCTCTCGGCTACACTGGGGAATTTACTTCCATGAGTACACACATAAATGTGAGGTTCCCCAAGAGGTACGCGACAAGGTGACCTGGCATCAAATGTGCGACTAAATGCTACTATCGAGAAGATAAAATAACGAATACGACAATAAGTTATTGCATGTGACAATTCCGAGCCTTCATCTCACTGAAGTATTTTGAAGTGAAAATAGGATTTTTGTTTTGATACATGGATTCAGATGAACGTAACTTTATTCTGACAACTAATCAAAACTGAACAAAATTGATTGTACGTAACAGACAATTTATTGTTTTACAATGTTTTGATTGGCTAAACGAATGACACCAACAAATTATGACATGTAAAATGACAATTTTGAAATGTAAAATTTAAAAGTGACAAACACAACCTCCCTATCCACTCTTTGGGAGCCCTAGTAAATTAGTAATATGGACATGCAGCAGTGGTAGTGTACAGCTTATTATCACACTACGCTTTGTATTCTAAAGCCTGTTGTTTGTAATAACACTGTTCACTCAACGTATGTTTTGTGTGTGGGCAGTCAACGATAATCATTGTTTTATCCAGGTTATATGACCTCGGCAATTATAACAAAACCGTACTAAACGAAAAAACGCTAATAAGAGAAAGCTTTCACACACATATAAAAAATGAACTAGTCTAATCCGCCAGTATAAACTCTGTGCTTTACGTAGCCGGGTCAGGCGCGCACTTTAAAGAGAAAATCAGATCTAGCGAGCACTGGCCAACAAAAAATTGTTTCAATTTTAGAATATTTCTGGCTCATGTCATTCCTTGTCATGTCTATTTTCTAAAAATCCCCTAAGTGCACACTTTATTTCAGGAAAACTAAAGATTTTTTCAATAAGAATGGTTACCATTCTTATTATTTGGGAGAATTTAAACATTTTTGAACTTTGAATACATAATAACTTCACCAATTTATAACATATCGTGAATCTTTTGGGAGATATTGTATTTGAGATTGTAAGGAATAGATTGGTAGGTCTATTGGACTAATGTACAGTTGTCTGAGATTGGTGGGTGACATTGGATGGTAAATGGCTAGCAGTGATTTTTCACATTGAAAATTGAGAACTCATCAGTTGTTGGGCATGCTGGCTAAAAGGTCATTTTTGATGTTTTTGGGTGATATTGATCACCATGTAATTAATGGTAATGGTCAATTATGTTATATCCAACATCATACTGCTCTCCCACATTTAATTGACCTAATTGGGTTTTCCTGACTTTTCGAGTGGACTTAAGTTGTTTTATGTCTTTGTAAGGAATTTAGTCTTTCATCTCTTTTCTCCTTATGTACAGGGTGATCCAAAAAATGGGACACTCATATTTCAAATTTTCTTGATTTTCTTGTTGGAAACATGTCATATTATATACAAGTGGACAAGGAATTTATTTATCTTTAATTTGGTATATCATATGTCTGTCAACCAGCATCCATAATATAAATGACATCATTAATATTATGGATGTTGGTTGACAGACATTATAATAAATTTGAACTTATGATATACCAAATTAAAGATAAGTAAATTCCCATCCATTGGTATATAATATGACATATTTTCATAAATAAAATCAATATTTATTTTTGAAATATTAGTGTCCCATTTTTTGGACTACCCCGTATATTCCCCATCATTTGAGTAATAGGCTGAATGGTAGAGGGCGAAGAAGTTACAGTGCCTTGATAGGAAAAACTGCTCATCTGGGTTTGTTCTTACTTCTGTGTGCATATAGAACATAAAATATGTATATTGAAAAACTACTAAGTAAAACTCTCTAGAAGTGGAACACCTCTGATAGTGGAACACTTCAGAGCCCCAAGCCCGGCTGACTTAGTATTAAGTGGAACCTCTATAAGTGGAACACCTTCCAAGAAGAACACTTTTTAAAGGTACCAAATGTGTTCTACTTAGACAGGTTTTACTCCACTCACAAACAAGCTACCGTTTCACAATCATTTATAAAATATGCCAACTTGAAATTATGGATTACTTTGTTTACAATGTTATCAGGCACAACTGGAATTAGAGTAGTATTTATTATATAATTATATCTCTCATACACCCAGACAGAGTAAGATAAAGTACCATTACGCATGACGTTATATCATAGATATTTAAAAACAACAAAGATATATTTCTGCTTAACATGCCATTGTATTCTCATTATCAGTTTTCGAGTAGAGTTTTATCAATTTTCAGCAAAATTGAATCAATATACATTTGCTCTTCAAGATTATTCAAATCTATGGAAATGAACAATGTATGGTTTGACAATTGGTGTTATAAAAGATGCATATTAAGGTTGGGCGTCATAGTTATGCTGAATAATTTAGGCTTTTTAACGGAGAGAATATGTCTTGAGGCTCAGTGTTTTCATTGAAATATTAATTATTATAACTCATTTAAAATCCTATTTATCTGACCTCCTGTAATGTATTTTTATGTCACCACCACAAGTGCTGACATATTGTTAAAGTCTCTAACTTTTTTGTGGACAGTATTTGGCAGTTGGGGTTTGGCAGTCAGCATACAGTTGTTGGCATCTTTAACAAATGGCAGGTAGTGACATTTTGCATTTTAATGCCTTGTGAAACATTTTTATTAAGTAGTATTTGCGAAATGTTTTACTGTAATCTCGAAGATCACAAATTGTTCCCAGACTACTATACAGATATATCTTGACTTCTAATGTTAAAAGCTATCCCCTAAATGTGAGTTGAAAAGTCCCCAAAAAATAAGACCTAAGAATTTTGATGACATTCAATGCTCCCGACTACAGATATATCATGACTTTTTAAAGTACAAAGCACATTGTGCCCTAGGAAAAGCCTTGTGCCAACACTTTAACCCAGATTGCCTTAGATTATCTGGTTTAAGTAAGACTGAATCTCTGAACCAATTATAATGATTCCTTACAAGAAAAAGCCAGACAGAAGTGAGCTCCCATGAGCGCATCATATTAACACATTGTATATATCTCGCTGAATTAGAAAAATCTGCAAAGACAGTATTTTCATTTGATTGTGATTTTTGAGAAAATATCTAAAATAGCACTCCAAAATAAACATAAAACACTGACCATGTCCACACATTAGATTTATTCAAAGGTTTGACATTATGGTTTTGACGTAGTTAGATATATCGGTTATTGACGGTTTTTAATCATCGGTGGATATTTTGATACATTGAGTAGCTGCTGAGATATCGAGTCTATTGACTCTTCTGGCTTATCAACCAATTTGTAGGCAACCTTACTATTTCTGAAATGTCAAAATTGTTCAGTGAATTTATTAAAAGAATAGATACAGTATATGGAAAAAGTGTTTAATTAATATACAGAGGTGTTTAATGGTATAAGGCCCTTTTGCTCTATCGAAGAAATTTTTATGATTTTAGGGATTTTTAGTGAGAAGGATGGGAAACTTAATTATATTTTCAGGGAAGAGCTTTATCTTGCTGTTACATTGACAGATTTCAAGTGTTCTAAGTCATAATTATAGCAATGAGTTATTAGTAATAATATTGGCTGAAAAGATTATATTCTTATATAATGGCTCTCCTATCAATAACTCATGGTTACTGTTGCTTGGAGCTTGAAGGCTTCTATTCCAGAACTATTGCTTAAACTAGATAACCCCTTGTCTTGCATATTTCAGTGTATCGGTTACAACGCCGAAGGACAATTTCTTTAAGATGGGCTGAGTGGCGGAATCTTGAGGCGGAAACTGATGCGATGTCCAAAGAGTGCTTTTCTTACCTTAACTCAATCACCTGATTAATAATAGGGGTTAACCTAATTATACTAAGTGCGATATGCAGAAAGGCACTTCCTACAAATTGGATGAAACTTGAATATGAATGTCCTTTCATTGGGTAAACTTCTACAAAACTCCCTTGGGCATAATGCACAATTTGTGCTTTTAACATAATGCAAATTCAGTCGTTGGAATTCACAATTGAAATTGAAGTAGTATTCTGACATGCTTCATCACAGGAAAAGTTTGGAAATCATTCCACTGTAATTCAAAAATAGATGGTAGTAGCTATGAAGCCAAATATCACGTAATAAATTGTAACATATTAAGAGCCATCTTTCTGCATGTTATAGTGGTGTAAGGGGAATACACATCTGCCATCTTTCAAAGGTAATCAAAGTTGTCAGAATAAAATATAAGAGGATTCTCGTTATTCGTAATTGGCTCTCTTATAAGATTTCTCATACTTGTACGTATAGGTTTTGTGTAATACAGCATCCCACCTCGTGCTCTCTATTAGTGAGTCTATACGTTTTTCTGGATAGGACAGCATTTATAAGTAAGTAGTTCCCTTATCCTTTTTTATTACCCATGGTGAGCTATTGCAATCACTCACTTGTCCATCTGTCTGTCCGACCGTCCATCCATCCGTCAGTCCGTCTGTCTGTCAACAATTGGCTCGTTTTAAAACCTCTGTCAATAGGATTTCCTTTTTAATATATTATTGTTCAACATCAATATAGAAAACTCCCTATGACTCCTGATTCAAAAAATGGCCGTCATTTTTGTCTCGCGAAATTCACTTTTGGACCATTTGCTTTAAAACCTCTGTCGATAGGATTCCCGTTTTAAAAGCTTGCCTACTACTAAGACTTTCATCTCTTCGTACCAGGTTTATAAGTCTTAACTTGTTTACAAGGTTGTACCTGTGTTTCCATCTGAACCAACAGGTGCAACAGAATTCGCTCCCCTGAATTTACATTTTGTAAATCGAACAAACGCATGGCGGTAATTTCTACTTAACCCAATATAGATGGCAGCGTTTATGAAACTGAATAGGGCTGGATTCAATAAAAGCCACGGGAAAATCTTTGCCAACTCAACTAACTCTATGAATCTTTTGATTGGCATGTGTTTCTCTTTTGGATAGGAGAATGTCCAAAAGAATATTGAGGACCATATAAACAGAGGCATCCATAATAAGATAAATGATGCCAATATTGTGATCATCATTTTTACCGCCTTGCCTTTCACATTGGTTGATGATGATGAATTGGCTAAAGATGGCTTACGAAGCACATTTATTATGCGCATGTACAGCACCATCTGAATCCCAACTGGTATAATATACACCAGGATCATCTCACTGAAATAGCCATACTTGTAATTTAACTCACATATTGTTAAATTATGAGAGAAAAAAGGCTCGTAGGAAACTGTGATTGGACGATGACGATACGCAGATGCTGGAACAAGTCCAATGATTGTAATTACTGCCCATATTCCAACAATTATCAAACATGTCTGTCTCTTCGTTCGTTTTGTCTTTTGCGGTGTGACAATGCCACGATAACGATCAATTGCCATGGCAATCAATGTATATGAAATACTCAGTCCAACTAGGTATGTGACATAGGTTTCTCCTTTACATCTCAAATCTGACTTGTTATTTTCCCTCCAGTATCCATCGAGACCGTAATATATCAAATAAAATGGCAGAATCAAGTTTGAGACATTCAACGAAGCGATGTAATAGTTAGTCGGGGTGTGCATTGCCTTAACTGCAATTATCACCAACAAGACAGCCAAATTTATCAAAACATCAGCGCAGCACATACATGTCAATAGGATTCCACTTAAACGTGAAGGCTTGTTGTGGAAAGCCAGTTTAGCAAGTGAAGGGTCATAAATATGTGGCTGTAACATAAACGTGGCATTGCCTAATGATTGTGAACTTGATGTAAAGTTTTCTGTATCTTCTGTAACTGGTGTCGTCATAACTGTTTCTTGTATTTAAAGAGGCTTTAAATAATTATTCAAATGAAATGTTCAGTTGTTTCAGTCTTTGTCCTTTGTTTATCAGTTTTGATTCTGTTGTATTGTGCTTTGGTTCACCATTTACATTAATTGTAAAGATTGAATCCTTCTTTTTTTCTGCAACAACACTTTTCCATCATTTTGTTCTCTCATATTTTTGAATCACTCTCATTACAGTGCATCTAATTCTCCCAATGATTTTTCTCCTGTTTAGTGCATTGAAACCTAAAGGGCAAAAGATAATCAACTGTAAATTTCAACAGTATTTTTTTAAATAACTTTTAAGAATAGTGTCTCGTGATGTGAAAAAATCTATTGTTAAGATTTTGTTCTACTTTTCTTTACAGTGTTGTGTTGGTTATTTATATCTTTCCTGTTTGTCTTTGTTCGATGGACAGCCTCTGTGAACTTGTTTCCTTGTGCCACACTTTCCGAATTAAGCCTTTTATTTGTGTCTCATTATACAAAAAAAAACATCAATTTATTGTACAGGATATCTCATGTGCAAATAATAGAGTTACTGCTCCTTAATTCTCAGGTGTTGTATAATATTGATTCTTCGTCTCATTAAAACCATCCCACTTTCATTTCCCGTATTCATTATATTTTGTCTAATGCCAGGGTTAATGTGGGCTGTGGATACCACAATTGAACCACCATAAATTGTTTAAATGCCATTCTGAAAATATATGCAAGAGTACTACTCTTCCCTGTCTCTGTGTCAACAAATTCAGAAAAGGGGGTCATTAACAGTAACAGTCACTTGATATTTTTGCAAAGTGCCTTCGATCCCTAGTGGTATCATTGTAATAGAATATATTTATGATATGGTTGAGGCACATACAATTTACTCATCTGTTAAACCTCAAAAATATTAGTTATTGTATGATTTGAAGTGCAATACAGGATATATTCTGTTTGAGAAATTTTGTATAGGAACGAGACGAAGTCGAGTGCGAATACATAATATAGAGACAGAATATATCCTGTATTGCACTTCAGATCATTCAATAACGTTTTTATTGTGTGCTCCTCTGTATTGCTACTGAGATTGTCCCCTCCGTACCAATATTTTCTTTATTACTACGGAGGTGATCAACAAGGACAATCTCAGCAGCAATTCAGATTGGTACAGTACAAGGACTGACCAATAAGAGAGCTTCATTTTACAGATCATAGGATAAGTAGTACTCAGTACCTCTAAAGAGTGTTCTTCTTGGAAGGTGCTTTTGAGGTGTTCCATTTGCATTGGTATTTAGTCGCAAAGCCCTTGTGACCCCCCCCCCCCTCGCCACTACAATAATTACGAGGTCTTTAGACAAGAAGAGAGGGGGGGTCACAGAGGCTTATAGTTAGACTCATTGATATTTTGACAGATCTTGAAAGAAAACTTGCCTTTATATTTGAGAAAATACCTGCTTATTGTTAAACAAGTTTTTAACTTGCCTTGCCTTTGTACTATTGCAGTTTAGTGTCACTTTTTGTTTTATTGATTAATCAGATGCATTAGTAGTACATAGTACTTAATTCAGTAATGACTAAAAAACATTGACAAGCCCACAAATGAATATTTATTATATATAAGGAAGATCATTTGACAAAATACAGTGTTTCAGAGTTTCCACAAAACCGAGTATTTTACGATTAATAAGTTACAATTTAAATTTAAGGAAATAATTGAATGATAACAGTTAAATATAGAATCAGAATCAAAATGAATGTTCTCATAAGTATCATCTTAAGATAAATGGAAACTTAAATATACCTTTTATTTAACAAATAATTATAGTTGTTTTCTAAATCTCATTAGAAATCTTCTGTTGAGTGTAAAAAGATACAATATATGAGCACATTGTAGCTATGATTTACTCGACATGAATAGAATTATTTACCTCTCAAGAGATCATTTTTAAAACACATTACTAGTAGTGGAGGAATGACATATTTTTTGAGTCAATCGAATGGAAAAGTCTATATTTGTTTTACTAGTCTGAAAATGTAAATTATGGTTAGTAACCCATGTGGTCTTAAAAAATTAGAAGTGTTTATCATTTATGAGCTACCCCTCAACACATGGTGCAAACAAATTTGTTGTAATGTATATTCATGTAACCCCATTCTGTCTATTCATAAGCCCTTGTATATTCTGTATTTTCAGAATCTGGCCAAGTACAGACTATTAGCCCAGGCATTGTTCCAGGGAGTACAGACCTTACCTGATGCTTACCATGTGTCTGTAGCAGAGGAAGACATTGACAAGTAAGAAAACCTAATTATATGTAACTCTAAGATGACAAAATGAATATATGCTGTAAATACATTAAAAACTGTCAAGGGGATTGAACACCTTTCAGAACACTTTGAAGACCTGTCATCCAGTAACTCCATGTTAAACGAACCTCTGTAAACTAACATACAAAAAGAAATACTTTTTGAGGTAACAAGGGCACTCCACGTTTATAGTTATCACTTGCCTATTTATACAGATTTGAGTTTAGACTTAACTATTTGTTGTTGTTTTTTCTGAAAGATGTGGTGAAATATCATTGTTGCATGTAATGTAAAATGTTAACACAAAATTCCACATAGAAAATTAAGAAAAATGAGATTCTGAATTAGATAATGAATAGCACTTGCCTTTATACAGATTTGAGTTAAGACTTAACTATTTGTTGTTTATCTGAAAGATGTGGTGAAATATCATTGTTGCATGTAATGTAAAATGTTAACACAAAATTCCACATTGAAAATTGAGAAAAATGAGATTCTGAATTAGATAATGAATAATTGATTTTAGTCTTAAATGAAATGTATAATGCATATCGTAAGCTGCTTAGCTGCTGTAAGTCAAGTACTCAGATGATTGAATGCCTAAAACCTAACAAACAAATCGTATTTAACTAAAGTGAAATGAGTAAATTCATCATTGAGATTGAGCCATCCTCCTAAGCAGGTATCCAGAATCCGTACCTCCTTCTTCACCCTGCTATAACCAATTTGGAAGCGCCCGATTAAATTGAATCATGCACGATGTCCGATTTGGTGCTCTGATCCGGCCACATGAAAAGGTTTTCATACTATTTTATAGATGTCGCTGTAACATATTTTCAAGTATTTAGCCCCCGTAGGAACAGTGATTACTCTGTCATAGAATGACTTCCGTTTGCAAGATTTCTGTACAGAATTCAACTTTTTTCAAGGTTTGTTGTGCTTTTTACCGTTTTTCCGGGCGTCATTTCGTTCTCAAGTTACATTCTGTGGAAGATAAGGTAGAATTACGCGGGTAATACGTCGCTTTTATGATGTTCTTTTGAGAAATTTATGGTTTTATTTAAAAAATTAAAATCACAGAAATTGTTTTTGATCTTTGATTCATCAAAAAATCAACTTTGTTAATTTATCTCACTTAACAATTTTATGGGAGATCAAGAGTCTAAATATCCCTATCACGCGAGGGCCAAAAAACAAGATGGCGTACTTATTATTTAATCCCGGGATTTTGTCCCATATGGCCCAGTTTGATTTCCTCATCAGTACAAATGAATTAACACTTACAGTACTGCAGTATAGGCCTAGTTCATGCTCTAACAAACAGCTGGACTGGATTAAAATGTATTTTCGGCTGTACAGTACAGATTTAAAGATTTGCATGTACATTTCGCCTACGTATTTGTGACGTAGTTTTCCTCGAATTGGTACAGTTTATTATCACGTGATTATCGATTTTATAAAAACAGCGCTATCTATCAATTACTCCGTGCGTCAAAAGCATAAATTGAAATGGCCAGCTGGGGCTGCGAAATCTACCATCGTGATGTGATCTAATTATGCACAATGACTTATACATGATTTCCGTCGCAGTGTTGCGACAGCCAATCAGATTGCGAGTTCTTAATCGGGGAAAGAAAGAATATATTCTGGATTTTGAAGCCCTGTGATCGGATTAAGCAAAATACTTAAAAATTCTGAATTTGTGATAATCAACGCATGAATCAGATACATACTTACATGTATATTATATATGTACCATATCTTCTAATTTCAGGTCTTTAAACTATTGTCGCATCTTCACAGAGATGGCCGAGTCATTTCTTGATTCAATTACCACTACGCCAGGCCAGGTGTGTACTACATATGAAATCAGCTTAAGAAGCAAATGAACATATCATAGTATAGCATACTCTCAATTTTTCAATTTATAGTTAATATATAGCTATATAGCTGATTAAAGCTGATGAACATATCACCCTTGTTATTCTTTGTTTTGCTTGGGCAAGACTGTCATAGCCTTTCGTGTTTTAAACTTGCAATAGTCGATGATTTATGAAAAAGAGTTGGTTGAATCTGTCTGAAACTCAAATGGCATACCATGGGATGACCCTGTCAATGTATCCTTTGTGATTAATAATGATTGGTTGTCAAACAAATAAACCAAGGTTTTAAAGAATCTTAGCATCACGTCAATGGAGATTTGGCCCAAGTTTTTTAGAAAGTCATGGAAGATGATTTAAATGATATAACTATAAAGCAAAGCTACTATTGTGGAAAATTTTCATTGAATTCAAATAAGCTATTAAAAAGAAAGCAAAGTTAGTCGTTAGGTTAAAAGTGCAAATCTCTTAAAATCACATGAAAAAAGAGAATTAGCGAGATTTCAAAACTCTATGGAAACTCCTCTATTGAGGGCATCAAAGATACAATGAAGACATTGTGTACTGCTCTTCTGTTTATTAATTACAATTTATTTATTTTTTGTAGGATTTTGGAGATTTTAGAACTATAGAATTGGTCTTAACCTGTATAGGACACCATCAGTATGAGGTAAGTTGTTACTGACCCCTGGACCATTTCACGAATATTAAGTTGAAATCGACCCCTGGACTCTTGGCCCCTTTCATGAATATTACGTTGTAACTGACCCCTGGACTCATTCATGAAAATGATGTCATGGACCCCTGGACCTTTTCACATTTTATTACCTTTTGTCCTTCAAACTAATTTTTGAAATTAAATTTCCACATACATATGATTTCATGGCCTTAATTTCCTCTGTTCTTAAAAACAGTTTCGTTACTCTCAAATATTTTTCAAGTTTTGACATATTTTCCAGGTGGCTGAGATTACATTCAACTTCTGGTATCGACTCTCTGAGATACTTTTTAACAAAAACGAGGAAGCCAAAAATATATTATTCAAACCCTACATAGAGCGTTTGATGGTTGCACTTTGCAGACATTGTCAGGTTGACCCTGATCACGTAAGTATCAAAAGTTCAACTTATTTTAAATTAATATGATCTCACTTGTCTCCCACTTTCTGATTGTATGTGCTTCCCTTATTCATTAGATTTACATGTATTTTACTTCTGACTTTTATATACAGTAAAACCTGTCTCAGTGGAACACTGTTGGTGCCTCCAAAAAGTGTTCCACTTGTAAGGTGTTCCACTTAGAGGTTTGTTTAACATCAAGTCTTTTTGTCTCGGGACTCTGAAAAGTGTTCCACTTACAGAGTTGTTCCACTTCACAGGTTCCACTGTACTATAAAAAATGGGTTTGGGGTTTTGAATTTTATGATGTATGAATTTTCTACTTATGCTAGATTATAATAAGAATCTATATTTACAGGAAGGCTTACTGGATGAAAGTGACGATTTCTTTGATTTCCGATTACGAGTATCAGAACTGATTAAAGATATAGTGTTCCTAATAGGATCCTCATCATGCTTTGCACAGGTAACTGTAGTCTGTAATCTCCTGTGTTGAGGTTTTCAATCAAAAATGATTAATGTTAAAAAGCAGAAAATAATGACAGTGAAAAAGGATACCGAGCTCCTTGATGTTTGCTTTATTCAGATTATGATCTATAAATAGGTTCATTGAAGTATATAAGTATTTTCTAAAAATTAATGTATGATGATAAAAATGAAATAAAACTGCATTTTGAATGTTTCGTATTTCAGATGTTCCAGCACCTTCAAGCCCAGTCTTCTTCAACAACCTGGGATTCTTCAGAGGCTGCCCTCTATATTATGGCTGCAGTAGCCAAAAACCTTTTACCGTGAGTTTCAAATCTTTCAACAAGATGAAAATCCATCAAATGGATATTAAGATATTTTTGAAACTTTTTTCAAAATTCAGCTCTTTAAGATGTAACATTTTTTAGAAAATGTCTCAAATACCTTTGTCATGAGAAATGATTGGTAATTGAATGCTACAAAATAATTGAAGCTAAGCAATATCTCAACCTTAATGGGAGTAGTGACATTTTGATCAACACCAAAAGTGACGGCGATTGGCTTGTATTTAGCATCTGTAACAAATGGCAGGTGGAGACATTAACATGTTGATGCCTTGTTATTATAGTTATATTCACATATATTTCTCAATGTTTCGCATGGATGATACTCCTCAGGTCATTTACATAAACAATACTCAAGTACATGTAGAAATAAATAAGATAAAAATGTAATGGATGTGACTGACACTACATATGACAGTACCAGACATGTTTGAATTGCAGAGACGAGGGTGAAATTGTCCCCCAGGTGCTCCAAGCAGTTCTAAATCTCCCCCAAGATGCACATGTAGCTGTTAGGTACACCAGCACTTTCCTGGTAGGGGAACTCAGTGAATGGATAAACTTGCATCCAAACTATTTAGGTACGTCTCTTAGATGTGTCACCAGTTTCTATAAAACTTAAACTCGTGTTTATTACAGAGGTCTTTGATCTCTGAGGTGCTTGAAGAAGTAGTCATATTAACTAATTTAATTAGAGACAAATAAACATTTGTCAAAATAGAATGGAATTGAAAACGTGTATTTAAAGCCTTTGACTTTTGATTTGAAATCAGAGTTTGGTATTGCATATTGATCAAAAAACTGAAAATATTTGTGACTCTGGTCTCAGAACAAAGTTTACATATTTCCCTTTAAACAAGAATTTCAATTCTTATACATTTAGAACTGTCCCTGTCATCTTATTGTATGTTGTCCTTAGTTTACAAAAGTAATGTGACATCGCATATGGTTATGTTAAAATCAATATACATTTATTGTTACATGTACTTTGCAGAGCCAGTATTGCAGTTTTTACTTAGTGGTCTTCAAAATGTTCAATTGTCCACCATAGCTGCCAAATCTCTACAAAATGTCTGCTCTCAGTGTAAAGAAAAAATGACGGAACATTTTCCCGGTTTACTCCACATTATCCAATCAATGGAGACGTTTAATCTCAGTCACGAAGCTGCAGTCGGCTTACTTATGGGTGAGTTTATAGAAAAACGCTAGAGCATCCCAGAAAAAGGCTGTTTGTGTAATGTAAATCTGAGTGCAACATAAACATGGGCCCAGGGGTCTGTTTTGCTCTGGGCCAGATAATTATTAGGGAAATAACATGCCAAAGGTCTGTTTATCAATTTTTACCAGTAAGTCTAAAACTCACTTCAGTTCAGTTTTATCTTAAAGGCTATAATCTTCTCAAAGATTTTTCTATAACTCCTCCCACTTTACCAAATTCATTTGAATATTCATTTTGGGAGCAGTTTCTAGAACAGCAATGAAGTCTTTCTATTTGTGTGCAATGAAATGCTGCTCATCAGACAAAAAGCCATTATTAATGTATAAAATTACATTTCTGATGAGAATTTCCAGCTTGATATGATATGAAATATGATGTCAATATGCTGTATGTATAAAATATGACGATGTCAGTTTTTAGTATATACAACATGATGTCAACTCACATGATATAAACTGGTGTCAGTTTAGCGATATAAAAATGATGTCAACAATATGATTTAAAATGATGTCAACCGAACCAATACATTATGAAATTTGATGTCAGCTCATATGATATAAAATATGTCAGCTCACTTTTATTAACACATTATAGGTACTTCTGTTATTCTGGCGAAAATGCCACATGAAAAGATTACTGAAGGCTTCAGACAATTATGTGCAGTACAAATAACCCCTCTTTCAAAAGTAAGTATCCATTTATGTCTTTAAAGCTGTTTTTATTTAAGGTGGGCCTAGTTAATGTAGTTAGGTGATTTTTATAACATATGATCGCTCTAGTAAGTAAGCCATATTTTGTTGCACTGTGTCTACCTTAACTCTGATCTCGTTAAAGAGCTAAAGGCCTCAAAACAGTCTCCAGTCATTCTGATACTCATAGTATCTTTCTGTTTCACCTGAAACATCTCAGGGCTGAGAAGAAATGAGATGTCATGGTGTATCATGATGGTCTCCAGTCAGCCCTTACCATATGTATTACCTCTGTTAGAGTGAGAGAATGTGTAAAGGGGGTCAACTCGATATGATTCAAGACAAACATTCAAATACTGTTCCTCTAGATTCTCCCTTCACAGGGTGAGCCATTTGGTCTTGGTGATTAAGTTGCTATTGGGCATGGCCTTCTGTGATTCAGTACCATATTTTCTTACAGCTCATAGAAAGTGGTCCAAATAATGAAATCAAGAAGGGAAACACATCAGATCCAATTATATGGATAGATAGACTAGCAGTAATATTTAGGTATGTAGTCACTTATTTATAAAGAATAAAATGTCAAACAGGTGTTCATGATTTTACAGGGAAAAAAGAAGATTAGCAAGGAATAACCAAGGATTTATGTGAATTTGCACGAATTCTTAGTTTATTTATATTTAGACTTACTATTTATTGTGATCAGTGGGCAAGTTTTCAAGTGTAGGGGTTAAACCCTTAACCATTTCACCATTTTTAGGAATTCCAGCATCTGATCCTCCATGTTTTGAAAAGGAACTGTGACTCCTCTTCTTTAAGGTAGCTAAAACAATCAAGTTACCTCATACACCATACAATCTGCATCTGCTCCCCCTTAGCCTACTATAATTAATTGGAAGATCCCCAGGGTGTGCCATAAAGTTTCTGGGGCTACTGTTGGAAATAAAATTATGGACCAGTTATGCCATGGTCACATTTGCTCCAATATTCAGTACCAGCACCCAGCTGATTAGTATTTTTTCAAAATTGTATTCAGTTTTGAAAACGATAAATGTGACCATAGCATTACTGGTATACCATGCATAACTGGCTCTGAGTTTGCGCTTATGTCGCACCCTGTAGGTCCCAGGGGAATCAAAATCAAGTTGTTTTCTAGGGGAAAATAAGAGTAGATTAATATTACCTGATTGACATTTTATTTAACACAAAGACATTTCCAGTAAACCACCATTCACTTCCTGAACATCATAGAAACTTATGTATAATTTATTGGCTTAATTCTTCCATTCATAGGTTGCAATTAGCATTAAATTTTTGAAAACTAGTATTGCGCTAATCCTATGCTGTATTTGTACTGTCTCAATGGCATTATAACCACACCATATGTGGTTTTGTTTACTGGACTTGTCTCGTCTCAAAAAACATTAAACAAAATTGTAAAATGTTTTAATCATTTGAAATTATTTAGTACTTGCTCAATGATACAATACACGATACTAACTCATGTCTTGAGTATTACAGTTGAGTCTCTGAATAAAATTGTATTTAGCAAAGGCCATAGACGACTGGAGATGTCTTACATAGAAGTGTGGACTGTATCATATTGTTTATATTTTATGTTTATATTATGTAAAAGCACACCTTGGGTTAGAGAATAATCAAAAACATATTTATTTATAGTCTCAGAAATAACAAAAATTAACTGCAGTATTTCTAAATATTCATCATGAAAACAACAAGAGAGAGTATTTATATAACTACTATTTCAATAAAATAGTGTTTATAATGTCCCAGCAAAGTAAAAACATTTGATTGAACCCTGCATTGTGGGTGTTTGCAATATACTTGCATTCCTATCAAAGGAAATATACCCCTTTGTGGACTGTGAAAAGTTAACCAATATTGAAAATCAATATAATCTAACCCTGCATGGATATTGAGTGAAATGTATTAGTTCTAAAATTAGCCCAGGTTTACACAGTTCATTGGATTTGATTGAGTGTTGGTACAGTTTTATTTCACACCTGAGAAATGTGAGGAGAGAGGCTGAACTAGGAACAGAAGAATTTAACTTCAACATCTTTGGTGAGTATTTTGTTCATTTTATCTCAGTTTGTTCTATAAAAGTGGGTAGTATGTGAATAGATAGGTGTTTGGAAGTTTCGAATGTCATTTCATCCTTATCCATTTTAGGATTGGATAGAGTATTTGATCAGAAATGTATTTGGTATTGTAAAATTATTTGATATGCCAGCTTGAATGTGTGAAAAATAAACTGAATTAATAAATTGTATCCAATACATGTACTTATTATAAGCACAATACAAGCATGAATGAGATAATATAGTATAATACTCCCGAGTGCTGTTTTATCAAAATTATATTTTACTCATTGTTTTAGAACTGTTTATTGGCACATTTTGTTACTGTTTGATCATTGAATCAAAACTGAAACGGAAACATGAATATTCTTCAATGATATACAGGGTGGTCCAAAAAAAAGTGAACCCCTGCAACAGGCTACAATTTTCTTAATACATGCATGAATTGGCTCATATTATCACATGTTGTAGAGAAAGGTCTAAAATTTTGGTTGATGCCATAATTTATTCTCAGTCTTAAATTTTGAAAAAATTACAAGCGTTTAACAAACATGCCTGGAAATTAGATATTGTACAAAATTTTACAAATGTGATTCATGGAAATTGTTGAAACACATTGGATGATCTTAAACAGCTTTCAGTTAGAGATACAAGTTTAAAACCCTACCATACGACAAATGACACTATTCAAGCAGAAAACACATTTCACACTTTCATTGATCATTTTGAAGCATTTTTAACTGTTCAACAGTTCAGGGGTATGTTACCTACACCAACAGTTAGAGAGGGGCCTCTTATGGAAGGAAGTTGCCCCTGTGACCAGGAATCTGATAACCCCTTCATCAAATATCTTTAAAAAATCAAAAGAAAATCCAATATTCAATGTTTTGAGCCATATATCATAAGAATTGGTCCATGATTTATGAAGATATTGACATTTCAAGATCATATAGGGGTATGTTCATGATTTCACTGGAAAATGTTTTTGTCTGTGGAAGCTTAGCACATCTCTTTGGATCACAATAACTTTGCAACTAACAAATGTAGGATGCTAGTTTTAAGCCATAATGTGCAAGATTTAAAATTGAACAAAGTCAGAAAATATTAGTTTTTTAAGACTGCAGCTTAAAAAATTCACAGGGGAAAGGTGTTAAAGGGTTGAAGAATCGCGGATATTGAAAATCACAATTTGTCCATTTTCAGTAATGTTTGGTTAAGGCTTATAATTTCTACAAATTTCAAGACTAAGAAAAATGTATGGTATCAACATAAATTTTAGACCTTCCTCTACAACATGTGAAAATAAAAAAATAATCCCTGCAAGTAATAAGGGAAATATGGCCAGTTGCAGGGGTTCACTTTTTTTTGGACCACCCTGTATGATTTCAACGTAATTGCCTAGATGAATTTGTGTTTTATTGGATGTTGAAATAATCCACATAGTCTTCAAAAGTTTCTTGAATCTCTCTTTCCGAGATTCCATATTCCTCCAAATTGTACACATGCCGCCCATACTTATATTGAGGGTTCTCCTTTATATAGTCTCTCATTGCGACGTCTGCTTCTGGGGTCAGGGTCATGTCAAAACAATCATAGATCTTCTTCACAAGCAGCATAGGTGTCTCCACTAGTTCATTGTAGTTGATATCAAGAAATTGGCTTTTCGATCCTGGTGTTAAAATATGGTCGTATTCCTGACGAAATTTTAGAAAGGCATCCGTAAAGAAGCTCAAATGATTGAGAGCTTGATTGGCCACCTGATGTTTATCTGGATTTCTATGGGATGATTTTAGTACACATTCATATAAGGAAGACGTAGACCCAACTATGCTTTTTAGATTCCTTGTTGGGTGGATGATACATGCATCCGGAAAAACCTTGAGAATGGAGTCTAATCGTGCCATGTGTCCAAAATCCTTACGTACATACCTTCTGGACCCTTTCCCTAGAAGGCAAAATTATCATCAAGAGAACAGAGTAGGCTCATTTACTTCTTTCAAGGAATTGAGTAATCTTTGTGATTTGTTTTTCTGAGTAGGAGAATATATGTAATGAATTCAAATCTGGTATAAAGATCTGGTACTTTCAAATCATCGTTGATAGATGAGCTAAACTACATCTTCAGTCTAACTACATGTTTATTTGAAATTTCTTGAACTGTTGAGGCTTTGTCTTTTAGATATGCATTATGGTTTGAGCAAGAGGTTGTTTGGTGTTACTTTCTTAATTATACAAGAAATAGTTTTTGTGTAAATATTATATAAAACCAATATTTTGAAATTAACTCACAAGCGAACACATCAGAAGATTCATACATATTTCAGGACTGTCTTACTTGACTGTTTGTGTTATTTTTCAATGGAAAAAAAATATTTGAAATTTTGTACCTTGCTTCACGGCCAGGATTTGTAGAAATTTCTTGTAAAATCTGTAAACGGTATCATGCACCTCAGGGTCAGGGCTGTTGTACCATTGGTAATAGTCATCCATACCTGTCATAAAATAAGGAATATGCTCTCTTGGTAAGAATCATGAATATCATGGGATAAACCCATATTCAATCCCTCCCAGTAAATAAACTCTTTGTCCCTCTGTTATGTACCTGAAATCTTGTAAACCCTTTCACAACGATAGGCTCCATATGGAGCCCTATTATGTAATACCTTTCAGGACGATAGGCTCCTTTTGGCACCATTATTTTTATTTATATACATCAATGAAATGACAATATCTCCAGTTCTATTCAGTATTTTTACACCAAATTTTAACAAGTTGTTCTTTTAACAATATCTCCAGTTCTATTCAGTATTTTTACACCAAATTTTAACAAGTTGTTCTTATGTGATAATCCTTACTAAAAATTGTATATCAGTGATGAAATCCAAGGTATAGGTCCCAGGGCATAGGTATTTTGCAGTTTTCTCCTAAAAACACTCTTACTTATCCGTCACTGGGGACAACATCTTCCTCTTATATTCACTTCGGGAAAGGGTTAAAGGATAATAGGTTGTATTAAATGTCATAATGTCTTGGTGTCTATTTTTTTATTGTAAATTAATGTATTTTCTCTTTGCCTTACAAGTTTTATTGCAAAAATTTTCAACTTTGTTCATAAGACTGGAATTGTCCTTTTGGTGATTTTAAAGGGCTAAACTTGAAGAGATAAACCCCTATGTTAAGTTCAAAAATATTTTTATTGTTCAAAGTTATTTTAGACATGTTTTGAAAAAGGATGAACTTTGAAAAAAGTGTTTGATATATTTCAACCTCTTGTTATTCCTATTAATAGTGTCACATATTTTCTATAATTTTACATCTACATTAATAATTTGCAAAAGGCTTATATGCCCATAGCCTATTTAGAGCAGATATACAGTTTAACAATGATAGTAGATAGATCTATGGTTTGGTTTCATCTCATTTTACAATTGAAAGGAAACTTCCTGGTTGCCCATGTACCTCCAGAGGAAGTCCCGTTATGTCGAGATACACTGGAGACGACTGTCGGGCTACTGCTTTGACAACACCCCTGTTTACCAGTAGTGCAAGAAAAATATTTGCATTCCTTTCCTTACCTAGTCTTAAGTTCTGTCCCAATCTGCCACACAAAGTCTGATCAAGCATTATGGCACACTCATCAGGAAGTAATGAATTTGCATAACGCTTCATTTTAGATTCAGCATTCATAAAACAATCTGAAATTGATTAAAACATCAAATAAAAAAATGAGTAAATTTTTAAAAAATCATCCGAGTAATTTTGATATATATATTTCCAGTTATACTTTCACAAAACTGTTGCTATAGTTACATTTGATGTTACATTTTGCCAGGTTTAGTTGCTCATACTTTAAATTCAAAGATGATAATATATAACTCTCTGATTTTTTCTCATCTTAATTACTGTAATATTTTATGGGGAAATGCTTGTAAGAATCTATTAAATAAACTACTGATATTGCAAAAGAAATTTGTTAGATTAATAACAAATTCAGATAGATTAGCTCACACATTCCCAATTTTTCAAGATCTTAAAATACTTAATATTTATCATATTCACACAATCCAAACTGTTTCATTCATGAAAAAAGTTATAAGCAAATCTGTACAGTTCCCTTCAAAATTATACGATCACTATTTCAAAACTAGAGAAAACATACATCAACGTATAACTCGATTTGGTCATAACTTAGATATTCCTAAACATAGAACCAGAATTGGTGAAAATTCTATTAAGGTCCATGGTTCATATATATGGAATTCCCTCAATGAAGATATTAGAAATAAACCATTAAATTCACTCATATCTCGTTTGAAAATTGACCTCCTGAGTACAGAGTAACCAAAACATTTATTTCATTTCTTTATTGTCTCATATTATTGTATTTGTATATTGTATTTATATTATATTATTGTATTGACCTATGTACCACTTTAAATGTTCACAGTTTATCATGTTTATTGTAAATTTAATTATGGGCAGTCATACACCCCCTGGGGTGTCATAGCCTGTATAATGTTGTAATTTTTGTAATGAAAACTGAAATAAATTATTTTGAAATTGAATTGAATTGAATTGATTTGAATGTACTTCATGAAATGTGATAGCCTTAACAACACTTTCCTTTAACATAGTGAGATATGGTTTGCTATTTAAGTGCAATATTTATTGAATATGTTCAGTCAAAGTTGCAATTAAAGGGCTTTTTATTAGATACTAAAGTAACCTGGTTTTCCTCAAACATAGCAAAAATGAGCATTCTCATTTAGTCAGTAAGGTAAATAAAATAATTAACTTTACGAAATGATTCCCAATTTTGATAAACTCGACGACGTTTTCCAATTACCTTTTAAGTTAATTTGTTAAAGCTACAATGATGATATTAACCATTTTTGGCAATAAATTAAAAAAAATATATATATATATTTTGCAACAACTCACCTACAATAAACTGTGCAGACTTAATTTTTGCTGGATCCTCGGCCAGAGTAGGTGGTACTGGGGAGGAGAGAAGCTGCCATAAAGGTGGCGCTAGGTTACCAGGGTCTTTGGCTAGTAGATTGAGAAGATATGTTGTCCCAGTACGAGGGAGACCAGCAATGAATATGGGCCGCTGAATCGGTATCTAAAAATTCTCTGAGGTTTTAGGCTGCATATTTGAAATTGCGTCGCATCACATATATGTATACTTCTTTGTGTCAGTGCAAAATCCAATATCAACTTCAAAAAGTGTCGGGTTATTTAAATTAAAGTATATAGGGGGTTTCACTGTCAAAATCATTATCTTCAAATGGATTGAAGTCATTATCATATATGTAATAAAACTTGTGCATCTGAACACCTTTAAATATGATTGCTTTTTTGGGTCCCAGTTTTATGTCACCACCACAAGTGGTTGGTGTTCAGTGATTGTAATTGATTGTGATTGTTTCAGTGTCTGTAACAAATGGAAGGTGGTGACATTTTGCATGTTAATGCCTTGTTTAATCTGTTATAGACTTCCATGTTAAAAACTTGAAATGTGAACACCCGTCACTCTGTCCCAGTGGCATTCAGCTAGACTAGACAGGTTTTACTTTTAACTGTTTTATAACTGCAATATTGGCCTACCTGTAAAACTGAAGGATTTTCCTTTAGGTACTTGCTGATTTGTCTATCATTTTCAATATAGGAATTCAATTGTGAGTGAATTGCCATCAATCTACTAGGTCTGATATTAGGATCACCTGACCAAGCATTCATGTACAGGGTTGCAGGCTTCATCCATTTTCTGGATAGATGTACATCATCATCTTCTTCTAGCACCTGAACATATTTTGTGATGAGTCGGTATATTTTGGTGGTGAAAATGTTGAAGAAACTCTTATGCTAGGTGATTTTATCACTGATTAAATATTGGGAGGGGAGTTAAAGGTCAATTTGTCAAGGTCATTTCACCACTTGTCAAACATTGGTAGGGGAGTTAAAGATCATTGTATAAAGGTCATTTCTCCATAGTTAAATATTGGGAGGGGAGTTAAAGGTCATTGTGTCAAAGTCATTTCATCACTTGTCAAATATTGGGACAGGAGCTAAAGGTCACTGTGTCAAGGTCATTTCACCAGTTGTCAGTTATTGAGAGGTGAAATAAAGGTCATTGTGTGAAGGTTATTTCATCACTTGTCAAATATTGAGAGGGGAGTTTAAGGTCATTGTGTCAAGGTCATTACTCCACTTGTCAAATATTGGAAGGGGGGTTAAAGGTCATTGTTTCAAGGTCATTTCACCACTGGTTAAATATTGGGAGGGGAGTTAAAGGTCATTGTGTCAAGGTCATTTCACCACTTGTCGAATATTTACGGCTTGATAAATATTGGGAGTTTTAAATTCCATTGTGTCAAGGTTATTTAGTTATAAAACCAGGTATCATTGGACAAAACAAATATAAGCCATGAATTCTTAGAACTTAAAACTGACTTAAAAGTTTTATCATGTCAAGGTACCCTCAGAGATAGAAATTACCTTGAAAGAGAAACTGTGTCTGACCCAGTCTCATAGCTTTCCTTGTTGTGCTTTTTTCTAAAATCCATTTGTTAAATGGTATACAGCAATAACTTCACAATTTATTAAGTTTTCATGGATCTTTTTTGATCCACATTGCCTTGAGAATTTAAATAGAATAATTTAGTGCATAAATACAGTAAAAGGTTACTTCTTTATATCTACTGTTATATATAATAAATACATACCATGTATTGTGTTCACTTATTTTACCAAAACAGTTTTTCAACTTATTTAAAGTATGCATCGTTCATACATTTCTTGCTCATTTTGCAAGTTTTATCATTGCGATATTTTAAACAAAGTTTACCTCATTGAATTTCCTAAGTAGTTCTCCCTTATCGACTTTCACAATCTGAATACCAGTGTAACGAGTAATGAACATTAGAATTGTATCCACAATCCAGATTATTTCCTCTCCTACTCTCTGCAGTAGTTCCATGGTATTGAATGTCATTGTTGTAGTTTTTTTTCCAGCCTGGTTCTTTGCTATGTTTGTTTGTTATTTTGTCCTACTGCTACAACTTCCTTTTCAAAGTATGTAAATGCATGTAGCATATAAAACTAGTAACATAAAATTGAACACACTGGTTTTGAGATACACAAATACACTTAAGTTGCCATTGACAAAAATGGATCCTATTCAAGAGTAAAACTATAAAAAAACAGAATATAGAGTAACTTTCTGGGAACTTGGTCAATTAATTGTCCTGTATGTATTTATCAAAAAAGTTTCCTTGAATGTTTATACAAATTCAATAGAACACTGTTATGAATCTTCAATCCTGATACTGATTGAAAATCAAGCTGAAGATTGGCATAAATGTTGCAGTTCTAATTTTGATTGACAGCTCTATTTTTGCACTTTCCATATTTGGTTGAAATGTATGGCTTGTGTTGTAACTTCAAGGTCAAACTGATCTGGTCACTTTTTAAGACAATTTAAAACCAGAGTCTTGACTGAAATGAAAATTTATATTATTTTTATATTTCTAAATTGAAATCTATTTATACCAGAGAAAATTATTTTTGCAGTCATATATCAGTTTATTTGAGAGGTATCATTTTATGTGAAAAGAGGTTTTCGCAGCATTTTATGGAATTATTTTGTCAAAGAATTTCTAGGGAAAGAACAAGAAGTTTATAGCTTTTGATTATTTCGATATTAGTTCAGGCTGGTAGTTTTTCAATTTTTCTGTACTGATTACACAGATATTCATGTTTTCTTTGATGCTTTTGAAGAGTCATAATCCGTATGGAAATATATAGACCTTATGTATTAAGTAGTCACTTTAACATTTACATCTCTAAAAATACCATCATTTATTCATGTTTATTGTTAAAAAATGCAGGAAAATCACCTAGATTGAATGTATTTTGAATAATTATTTTTTAATCATCATTAAATGTTATTTTGATGTTGCAGAGTCTGCCTGGTCCAGTCACTCAGTATTAGAACAGTTCAACAGATTGTAACCAGCCATAACATTTCCCTGTCTGATTTAATTCTACAACAAAGGAGCAGTTCCGTAAAAGCAGTTCCACTGATTCCAACAATATATGAACAGTTTGGGTGATCACAATCTTCCTTAGCATGTCACAGTTCAATTGTTCAGTAAAAGAACAATTCCTGAGATTGCAGCCAGCCATAACAGCTCCCTGTTTGGTATAATCGTACAACATAGCAGTTCCACAGATTGCAACAATATATGAACAGTTTGGTAGATTACAACCTTCCATAGCAGGTCGTGGTTTGGTCCAATTGTACAGTAACAGAACAATTCCACAGATTGCAACCAGCCATAACAACTCCCTGTTTGATTCAATTGTACAATATACGAACAGTCCTCAGATTGCAGCCTGCCACAGGAGCTCCCCCGTTACATCCAACAGACCACACATATCCTTGTTTAGCAGGTAATATACTTCAGTATAACTATTGTGATGCTGTAATATAATAGCAAAAAGATTTTGTAAGGGCATATAAGGAAGACTTTATATAAAATTGTTGCATTGAGAAGATTATCACTGGCAAAAGATGACCAATTAAAAAAATATTGGTGAATTATGAATTTTATTTTCTTAAAAAGAAAGTGCAGATATTCTTTAAATCATTTCATTATATTTTGAGAGAATCCAGCCTCTTAATTCCCTATTTTTTTATTCCCCAACATTTGAGACCAACTTTTTCTAGCTTGAGGCTTAAAAAGTCAGTGACATCAATTTCTGCTAAAAAGAGGGACTCTGTATAACAGAATAATGTATCAACAGAACGGCTTTTTTGTTTTGCTTTGTATGGAACAAGTTTGAAGAAAAACAGTGCGGTATGAGACACACATTCTTTGATTTTCAAACATCTGGTAGGTCTTAAATTCAAATTAATGGTTTTTCATGTATAGTTGGACCCCTTAACACATACTTCTCCATTTCAGTTGACTACAGAAATCCTGGAAAAGCTCCAAAGAATCGACAATGGATACTTCACCTACTCGCCAGGACTCATGCAAGATGTTTGACACCAACCAAGATGATGTCATCTATTTAGATCTGGACAGTGGAACACCATGCAGGGTCAATAAACACAAAACATCAGACAGCAACAATAACAATCTATGCAAAACCATTGATCAGAATAACAACCAGCATGGCAAAGGCATGACTGACATGAACAACACATCTCCACTTATTGACAGTGATAAAGAGTTTCATTCACCAGTCAAAAGTTATTCAGTTAATCCTGAACCATCTGTTCATAGTGGTCATGATAAATCAGTGCTTCCACCTATAGAATCATTCATACCTTGTAAACCAACTTGGTTGTTTTCAGGACAAGCTAGTTTCACAAGTAATGGTAATATCCATATGGGAGATTCTAATTATTCAGATAGTGTTAGTTATATTGGTGATAATAGAAGCTTTATGTATGATACTTTAGCTGATAGGATTGATACACCTCCATCTGCCACACAAGGCAATCATCATGAAGATCTTCCGGGTAGCTTTGCACCTATGGGCACAGAGTATGATGGTTTAAATTCCTACAAGGATGTGGAAGATGGTAACCTTGTTAGGATATCTTCACCTGACCAACATACTGTGGATGATGAATTTACCTATGCCCTTAATGAAACATTTAAGGATTGTAGTGAATCTGTTGGTAAATACAGCTGCAACAGTAATCAACAGATGACAGAAAGTCCAAATGACCAGGTACATACAACCATAAAGGGGAACATTGAGTCTTCAAAGACTTCTAAGAAATGCACTTCAGTTGATACATCCATGACAAATGTTTTGGACCAAACTCCAACACAAATTTCTATTGATGAGTCATGTACAGAAGTTCTGGAAAAATCAAAAGGTCAAAGGGATTGCACAACAGAAAGCGATAATGTTGAGAATGTGCCTACATGTGCTGTAGATGATAACTGCCTGATAACTGATGTTGAATTGCCTGACACGCTGACCAAACAGACTCAAGATCACTTAAGATATCAAGAGCAGTCCGTTGATGCACCTATGATCAGTGTGCCAATGAGTGCCATTCCAAGCGATGCCTCAAAGAACCAGCCAGGGCATCAAGGAGAGACCGAAGCTACATTGAAAGATCCATTTGTAAAAGGTATGGCCACTGGAAATGATGTAAAGACCAAATCATCATCATGTTTGATTGAACTACTTCTTAGTGATGAATCAACAACACAGAAATCAACTGAATCTAAAGCACCCCAGTCGCAAGCAAGAAGGGAAAAACCAAGCTTGGGGAAAACATCAGTTAAAACAATTAAGCGTATAGTTATGAACAAGACTCAAAGGAGAAAAAGGAAAAGTACTATTGCATCTTCATCATTTAACACACATACAACTGATAGTTTTCCACACACCAATAGTGAGTTGCAGCATAGTGGGTCTAATACAGAGCATGTATCCAGCTTAGCCCAAGTACCACCATTGGCAGCAACATATCCTTTAAGTGTTCCACCCCCACTGGGTTATCAACCATTATGTTCACCCCTGTCCATAAAAATCCCAAATTATTCACAGGGATGTCCTCTACTGTCAAGAGAGACTCCTCTTTCTTTGAGACAATATGAAATGAGACAACCAATTTTGTATCCACATAGATATCCAGATGTTCTAAGACCACGCTTGTATGGCACTTCAGGAGGATACATATCTGAAGAAAATAACAGAAATATCCCAGCTTCATTATCCACAAAGAGCCTTCCAAATCCATTTGTTTCTGAAGCATCACCACTGTTGAATATACCCAGGCCAAGATTCTTCCAAGAAACTGTTCCAAGATTCACCAGGTCGTATCCAATGTATGCCCCTTACCAAATGCAGCCAACAGGTCAAAATGGTGCATTTCCAATGTTGACTCCACAACCAAACAATGTACAACAATCATTCAATGGTAGGTATGAATCTCCTCTATTTCCAAGTCCCAGTTTCTTCCCAAGGACACCAGTATACAGTCCTTATGGCACACCCATAGGTGGGGCAAGAACTGACAGAGAATACAGTTTAAGGTATGGTATGCCAAATCCATCAGCAGTTGACAGATTGCCATCTTATAAACCTCCATTTATACCAGGAATGTGGAGTCCTGTCTCGTCACTTGTAGATGATCATATACCTACACCTCCAAACAGAAATGATAAGCATGCATCTGCATCAAAAGTCAAAGGTGCAAGAACTAGGAATAGAAACAGAACATATGGAATAAAGAATGCAAAGATGTTAATGAAAGCTATCAAGAAAGAGCCCAGCTATGAAATAGGACCTTATGGATCACTTAAAGGAGTCAGTAACCTGACATCTCAAAAGTATCTTTACAGCACTGAAAATGGAACATGTGCTCAATACTCAGATATTTCACCCTCTATATTATCCCCTGATAATGTCCCAAAGAAAGGTTCTTTGTTACGGGATTTGCTGGAGACCCCAGGAAGCAGTCCAATTGAGAACATAGATTCATATGACGAAACTCAGAGGGATTTACATCAGAAAACCCCATCATTTGAAGTATTCAAGAAAAGAAATGTTTCAAAAACTCTTGAATCCCAAGATATAGATAAAAAGGTATCAGAGATCCAAACAGACATCACAGATAGTTCTGTATGTATTGTAGACCAACTTAAATCTGGAACAAATTCCTGGCACCCTTGCATAGGATTAGATAATGACAATACAGAAATTCACAAAAGTGAAAAAACCCCAAATATTGGTATTTCAGATGTGGTGTTAAAAACACAGCAGTACTGCCCAAATAGTCCAATTGAAACCTCTATGAAGGATCATGATGATGTTATAGGGGTTGATAGTGATATGGACAATAGTGAAATTATTGTAATTGAAGAAAGAAAATGTCTTAAAGATGATGAATTGAATCACAATAAGAAAGGTCTATCTGTCAAAGACCTGGTGGATCTATGTACAGAGGAATACACAAGAGATTACTTGGAAAGCCATACCAACACAATAACTACAGCACATGGTTCAACTTCAACCATAACCACACACTCAAAGTCATCAGGTCAGACCAAGCAAAATGACAATTCTGTACCTATTTTCCGACCCTTTGACTCCCCAGTAAGATCAAGTGAGGGCAGTTTTACAAGGCCAAATTGCATGACAACCAAAAGCTTGGACAGGGGAGTGGGTGTTCTAGATCCTGCAGGTTTCACTTATACTCCGAGGTTTCTGTCCTTTAATGTTTGCCCGCAGCCCTCAGTATATGATGGAGCAATCCTACCTGTAGTATATGGCGATTTACCAAAGCATCATGCAACTCCAAGGATGTCATTTGGACATTTCCCTCCCTTGAGCCAGAGCACACCACTTGCTCACACAGGTCCTCCTAGATCCCATCCAGGGACTCCATTATCAAATATATACAGAGGGAATATTAGCTCAAATGCAGAGAAGCTACAGCAAGTGTACAGTTATCCAGACCTTGACACTCCATATCTAAATCAGTTATCCAGAAATACAGCTCAAAAATCACCAATACAGAACCATTTGGATTGTGATGTGAGCCCAATTGAGATAAACCTTGAGCCAAATCCTGTGTCACACAAAAAAAGAAAGAAGAGGCATATTTCTAAACGCCCGAAGACAATAAGTCCTGCTCCAACAAAAGAAATGATGGAACTCAGCTCAGAAACAATCAACTCACTTTTGAGGAAGAGGATACGGCAGAAAAAGAAAGAAAAAGTTGTGAATGTGAATGGGCCTAACCACAAAGATCATGTATTCATTAAGCCTAAAACAACAAATGTTGCCCCCTTGCCCACATTCAGGCCAGTACTCTTTATGGGTAACCCTCCCTGTAGTCCTGCTCTGACAAGATGTTCACAGAGTAGCATGGTACCACAAATCCAACAGACAAAAAGTATGCCAGCATTGACAAGACCAATTATAAATGTACCTGCTATATCACAGACAACAAACAATCTATCAGTGCCTCCACATCCACCTAGAATGCCAATATTGAGAAGTAACCTTCCGGTCTTTCCACAGTATCCTGGCCTACCAATCTTCTCACAGACACCTTGCATGCCAATGATGTCACCTATAATTACCACTCCAATGTTGTCAAGGACTACAAGCATGCCAGAAGTGACACAGACTTCTAGCCTGCCCTTCTTTTCACAAATGCCAGACATGCCTATGCTGTCCACAACACCTAACATGTCAATGGCTTCAAACATGCCTATGATACCAATGATACCACAAGTGTCTCAAACTGCCACAAATATTCCATTCTTACCTAGATATTCAAACACTCAGCAGGTACTGCTAACACAGCAGCAACCAAATGGACAATACTTGACACATCAATTGTTGGCAAATTCAATATCTGAGGGGAAGACTTCCACGACTGCACTGGTGTCTTCTCAAATTCCAGTCTGTACTCCTGTCACACGTGCGACAGACTTACAATTTCACCCACAAAGAAAACAGTCACATCTTGCAAACATGACAGGGGCAGATTCCATTATAAATCTTAAACAGGTTCAGACTGAAAGTCATAGTGCTTTAGATTTAACCAACTCATCTTTCATCAATAATGAATGGATAGGGAAAGATTCACTGAATACACATGATGATCCTATTTCACAGGAAAATGGTGTAAAGACACAACACAACATGAGCATGCAAAATGCAGTGAGTGTTATAGTAGGAACAACAGATACTCCATCTCAAAAAACATTTGAAGGTCCAAGACCTCATGATTCACATAATAATCCAAAGAATGTTGTAGTTCAAATTGAGGATACTGAGACAGGTTCATTATATGAACTAGTTGATTCAAATCTGGAAAATGGTAACGGCTGTACAGATGATCCATCAGAGTTACCTAGGTTCACTCAAATTTGTGCAGGGACAGCTGCACAAGCTACTGGTAAAATAGAAGACACCGTTGTTGGAAGTGGTGAGCAATCAAAACCTGTAAGTGAAATTAATGTTAACTCAGAGTATGATGTCCCTGGACCATCTAATGAACCCCAAGTTATAGATGCAACAGAATTATATTCTACCTCAGGTAGAACTAACCATGAAACACAATATGCAAGCTCATTTGGCGAGAATAAGCTTATGCTCTCATCACAAAATGATAGTGTACCCGTCCTGAGTAATAATGATTTTCAAATGGCACCTCTGTTTGAGAATAGAGATGTAATGCCATACCCAGTTTTCCCATCACCTTTCAATGTTCCTGAAGATACATCAAAGTTGCTCAATACACCTTCATCAAGTTTTGCACAACATTCTCTAAATGAATCATTCACTCAACCAGTACTGAATACTCCTAATAGAGAGGACAGTTTGCTTTGGCAACCTTGGGGTCTCCAGAATCTGCATCAACAGACAATTAATCATACTCCTGGTGCTTGTGGCTACTTTAGTGCTGGTACATCTGAACCTAAATCTACAAGATCCAGAAAGAAAAAAACAGCTCAAGGTGGTGACATATTATCAAAATTAACAAGAGATCTTGGTATCGCACCAGGACCTGAGAAGAAAACTACGCCAACTAAAGCACAGGACTCGTGTCCTGGTAGCAAGAAAAAACATCATAACAACCGACCATTGCCACATGATGCCCACGAAATACTTAATCAATGGTTCACTACACATATTTTGAACCCTTACCCATCCAAGGAGGAAAAGATTATGCTGGGAGAGGCATGTGGACTTTCAATTACACAGATAAATTCTTGGTTCGTCAACAAACGGAATCGTACTAACAACACACGTCCAGTTAGACACAAGGCTTATGTGTATGATAAAATAAATTCAGTGAAAACTAGACTTGCCAAAGAGCTAGAAGCAAATGGAGGCAAGTTTGAAAATGTGGACCTGTACAATCAGAGGAAAATTGTTGAAGATGTTACAGAAACTGTTTCTCTGGTTCAAAATTTCATATCAGTCGCGGAAACATCTTTTCCTGACCAAAAATTTTCAATTTGTACTCCATTATCTCCAATAAAAGATGTGTTCTCTGAGAAAAAGGACCTTATTTGAGTCTGATATATTGGAGGATGATATTTTCCTCAATCTTGGATTAAGATGATCCAAGATATTTTGTTATTGGTATTTGAAGATCTGAAGGCCAAGAATGGCCAAGAATTAACTTGATTGAATAATTTTTGTGAGCTTAGGTTTATGAGGGGTTTAAAAGTGTTTCTCATTATCATAGTGCTCGGTTTCTTATTCATATAAGTACATACCTGCAAGTTGTGTTTGAAGACTGTATATTCCAAGTTGTGCTGAAAAACATTATTTGACTGAGAAATATTAAAATGAATAATGAATGACATATTCCATTATATTTCAGTTCATACATGAGGGGCATGTACCCTCAGGATAAACCCTATATATCCAAAAGAAACTATACATAGCCTAACTGAAGGCTCTTGAGAATTCTTATGCAAGATGCGATTTTGAAATCTCAAGTTTTGAATTCTCTGTAGTTTATTCACTGTGTTCATTAATGTCTGATTATTGTTCATTTTCTCAACATTTTCTCAGATGAACATTTTCAGCTGTATAGATGTCTCAATGCAACACAAGAGTAGATAGGAATTGAAATGAAAATTCCATGGATCACCTCATATGTCCTTCTATCCTTGGATATAATGAGCTTTCTATTCCGTACATTTACTAGGGTGTTTTACCCCAAATTCATCCAAGAATAAGAAACATGTTCATCTTTGTTATATTTCTCAAGCCATTCAGGCTGCGTGATATATAGCAAAAGAAAGATGTGTTCCTCAACAGAATGGAATATACATATTATCAAAAATAGTCTCTTTATGTAGTTCATAGATAGTCTTGGTTTGCTCCGATATTACAAAAGGGGTGAAAGTGGTCTTATAGTTATATTGAAATAATGTGTATAATTTATTTTTTTCCTTTATTTGTATCAAACTTTAACTACAATAAATGAAAATGGGTCAAATATCAACCTGTATGATGTACAAGGAAGATGTACCAGGAACTTTATAATTGTTGAGATTATTGAGTCTATTTTTATTATGCAAAGTAAATTTATAGTTCAAGGAGTGAATATCGATCTATATATTTAAAGAGTGTTTAAAGATTGTTAAATTTTTTCTTATCAGGATATAAGTATTTTCATAATATTTTTGGCAGAGTGCCTACAAGTTACAACTTAATGTGCTTATAATATTGAATATATATGCAAAGGTCAATAAAACATCATATTTGAATATTCTAGTTATATTTTCAGTGTTCAGACACTGCGATTCTTGTAATCTGAGTTCATTTTGTGAAATTGCAAAACACTTTGTTTGGCCAGTTTATTAAAAAGCATATATGATTTTCATTTAAATATTTTAATTTTATGTCATCACCAAGTAGAGTTAACATTTTGTTATGACCTCTAGTTCCGTGATCAGCAATTTACATTTGTAACAGCACTTTTGTAATCTTTACTAAATGGATTGTGTGGTGACATTTTGCCATTTGAATACCTTGTTTATTTTGCAATACATACATTGTTTTGTATTAAAAAAAATATGAGTCTGTTTTTATTGCTGTGAAAGTAGGATTTCCTTCCCATATAGTAGTCCTGTTGGGAATCCCTTCCAATTGACCAATCCTGGAGGGAATCCTTCCTAGTGCCTAATCTCGATGGATATTCCTTCCAATAGACCAATCCTTTCGGGGGAATTCCTTCATTCAGACTTATTCTGCTGAGAATTTCTTCCAATAGACCAATTCCGTAAATCATGCTATCTATATAAGCTAATTGGATATGAAGTTTTACATATAAATAACACAGAAAATGATTTGAAATGTACAACTGAGATATTCAGCCCCACGAACCACCTACATGGTCATAATTTGTAAACCGTTACCATGGGATTTCAAGTTTTTACCTTTATTGGTGCTTAAGCTACTGATAGCACAATCTGAGGAAATGTTTGTGCCAGAAAATGGTTAAAGGTCTGAACTGAAATCAGCTGTTCCCTTCTTTGCCCTTCATGATGGCATAGTCAGATAGTGTGATAGTACCATGGCAGGGATCATAGCAAGAGCTAGTGACTGATGAGAACCCAAACAGATAATAACCTCTAAAAGCCATATTAAAAGTGAAAACAAGAGCCATTCCTGAGAAAACAATTGTTTACTCCAGGAAATCCAACCCAAGGTGTGCTTAATTGTTCAATGTTTGTTTGTCATTTTAAATATAAGTATAAATCATAATATAAAAATGTTTACTTGTAAAATAAATCATATGATTAAGTAGTGAAAATATGCAGTACTTTGCATTGGCATGTTCGGATATCCCATTTAATCACTTTATATCAACTTTATCTCTATTGAATATCTTTCTGCTTTAACTATTGTAATAATTTTCAGTGTTCTGTTGTCATTGTAGGCATAGCAGTCCCATAATAGTAAATGGACAGCAACATCCGTGTCAGCCTGTTATTCAAGAGGTTTGTACAAAAATCATCTTTTCCATTTTGAGGGGCATTTTTATGTCACTACCACCAACTACATCATTTTTGAAAAACATGCAAATCTGCTGCATTATTGTTCAGTAACAAAATGGTACATTTTTCATTAATATGATATTTTTAGTTAATTGTGTTGTAATCCTTGGAATAAAAAAAATTTCAAATCATTACAAAGAACTTTTTATCTTATCACTTGAATTCTACTACAAGTTGTGAATGAAAAATATCACATGAAAAAACTCTGAGGTGGTCAATATTATAACTACCCAGGAAATCAAATACAACAATGATTTCTAGAGAGTTCATTTGGTTTCACAGTTGTCTTTAAGATTCTATTCATGTTTCAGTTATGGCCAGTTCTGTCTAACGCATGTGCCAAGTACCAGTCAGACATTAGGATCATAGAGAGATGTTGTAGGTGTATACGCTTTGCCGTTAGGTGTCTTGGGAAACACTCCTCTGGTCTACTGCACCCCTTAGTCACACAAGTAAGATATGAATAGAACATGGGTTCACTATGTTTTTGAAAAAGTTAATATGCATGCAACTCCATTGTATCATTGTTTACCATTGAGAATCTCATAGGGAAATATTCAACCGTGAAATAGTTTTTCGATGTTTCTGTCTGATGAATTGTATGATTAATGCCTCAGTCTTATTTACTTATCTACAGCAACAGTACAGCGCCCATAGCTTTCCAAAATCGAGAGAAATATGTAGCATTATATATAGGGATAAGTAGTACTATGTAGGATTTCTATATTGATTTTGTAAAGCAACAGCTGTCGTAAAGTCGCTTAAGAGCAAATGTGACCGAGGCTTTAATAGAAAAATATTTTGATTGTAATTTCAGATGGTCAATTTGTACCAGAATCACCAGCACTCATGTTATCTTTATCTTGGAAGTATTCTAGTGGATGAGTATGGAAGGGAGGCAGGCTGTATATCAGGACTGCTGGACATGTTACAGGTAGAGACATAAACTTTTTATTATGATTATTGCACTTGTTATCTTTATCTTGGAAGTATTCTAGTGGATGAGTATGGAAGGGAGGCAGGCTGTATATCAGGACTGCTGGACATGTTACAGGTAGAGACATAAACTTTTTATTATGATTATTGCACTTGTTATCTTTATCTTGGAAGTATTCTAGTGGATGAGTATGGAAGGGAGGCAGGCTGTATATCAGGACTGCTGGACATGTTACAGGTAGAGACATAAACTTTTTATTATGATTATTGCACTTGTTATCTTTATCTTGGAAGTATTCTAGTGGATGAGTATGGAAGGGAGGCAGGCTGTATATCAGGACTGCTGGACATGTTACAGATAGAGACATGACTTATTAATGCACTTGAAACCGCTATATTATCATCATTTTGTGCTTATGGGTTTGCGGAAAGCATTAAGATAACAAGAAAATCATCCAACATTTAATTTGAAACTTACAGATGCAAAAGCAGACTGGGCATACTTGGTAATTTACAAGGCAGATTTGCTTACCAATTGATATATTTATCACACTTATCACAATTTGAAAATCAATCAAACCAAAAATTGCAAGTTTACCTCTATGGATGCTGAGACTTGATGATGTCCATGGTGTATTGAATGATGTATACATGTATTATTTTCAAATTGTCATAAAGTTGTTTTTTAATTTCAGGCATTTTGTGGTCCTACATTCAAGATACTGGAGGAAGCTAATGGTCTACGTAACCATCCTGATACTGTAGATGATCTCTTTAGACTTTGTACTAGGTAAGCTCTTGAATAATACCTTTAAATAGTCAAAACTTATACCAGTACATGTACACAACAATCTATACATTATAATCACCATGGTTTTTGGCTCATTTTCTTTGTTTTCATAAAGTGTACAATACATTAAAGGAAGCTTATGCAAGGAAACTGCTGAGCAGCTTTTCCTGTATGTATGTGTGTATGTGTATATATTAGGCCATTCAAAGAAAGATATGTTCAACATCTCCTACCTTAAAAATATTGAACAAATAATTAATTTTGATTGGCCTTACACTATATTTTGATTTTTTGTAGTTTTTGTATCTGCTCAGATTCACCCCTGCCTTTCTTATGACACACAATGATGAAACCAATACTGTGTTGTGCCATAGCTGCATGCTCATTAGACCACAGGGATGCCAACGCCTCTGTCAATCTTTATGTAGTTTATGTCTCTTTACCCAGGTTCACTCAAAGGGCACCCCTGGCTTTCTTACAACATACAATGATGAAACCAATACTGTGTTGTGCCATAGCTGCATGCTCATTAGACCACAGGGATGCCAACGCCTCTGTAAATCTTTATATAGTTTATGTGTCTTTACTCAGGTTCACTCAAAGGGCACCCCTGCCTTTCTTACAACATACAATGAAACCGATTCTGTGTTGTGCCATAGCTGCATTCTCATTAGACCATAGGGATGCCAATGCCTCTGTCAATCTTTATGTAGTTTATGTGTCTTTACTCAGGTTCACTCAAAGGGCACCCCTGCCTTTCTTACAACATACAATGATGAAACCGATTCTGTGTTGTGCCATAGCTGCATGCTCATTAGACCACAGGGATGCCAACGCCTCTGTCATGAAGTTCCTCTCAGAGCTGATTAGGATTGCTCATCAAGATGATGTAAGTACTAACGTTGATTATAGCATTAAAGTCACCAAGAGGTTTCAAAGAATTTTTCAGTAATTTGTTCAAAACAAGGATTAACCAAAATGACTGTTTATACACCAGAAGGCATCTTATTTTGATGAAACACCTTTTGTTTTGAATAACTCCCAGATACTAGTATCCAAATTTCAGCTTCAGTTTTGCCTTCACTGAAAATTCAAAACAATTCATTTAGACACATTTTAAGATAGACATTCAACATTCAAAATTTTGAACAATACATGCATCTTGAGATAAGAATTATGAAACTTTGCTTAATATAGGATGGAGCAGATGCTGAAACAAAACGCACAATAGTGATGTCTCTCATATCTGAACATGGTCAAGCTTTGACTCAATCTATATTGAATGCAACAGTGTTCTGTCTGCCATCATACATGGTCACAGATGTGGCAGAGGTTGTACAGGAGCTGATGGTGGTTGATAGACCAGTAAGTAAAAACTATGAATTTTTTTTAATTATTTATTAATTCAACATTTAAAAAACATTTAAAAAATGATTCATGATATCCCGAGAGCTATAAGCTGACTATATGTTGCACTTTGATGAATAAATAAGCGAATGTTACATACAAAATACATCTCCATTCTAGGTGTTCTGTAAGTGGCTGGAGGTTGCATTGAAGACAATGCCCACAGAAGCCATGGCGGTGCAACTACTGCTACTCATAAATTGACATTTTGATAATACATAATATATCTCCATTCTAGGTGTTCTGTAAGTGGCTGGAGGTTGCATTGAAGACAATGCCCACAGAGAGTCATGGCGGTGCAGTTACTGCTACTCATAAACTGACATTTTGATAATACATAATATATCTCCATTCTAGGTGTTCTGTAAGTGGCTGGAGGTTGCATTGAAGACAATGCCCACAGAGAGCCATGGCAGTGCAAATACTACTACTCCTAAACTGACATTTTGATAATACATAATATATCTCCATTCTAGGTGTTCTGTAAGTGGCTGGAGGTTGCATTGAAGACAATGCCCACAGAGAGCCATGGCGGTGCAGTTACTGCTACTCATAAACTGATATTTTGATAATACATTATATATCTCCATTCTAGGTGTTCTGTAAGTGGCTGGAGGTTGCATTGAAGACAATGCCCACAGAGAGCCATGGCGGTGCAGTTAATGCCACTCATAAACAACTCACTGACTTTCATAAAGCATGCACAAGGTAAGAAACCCATGATATACCCTGATTGTCTTCATATAAGTCTACATTGGCTTCATATAGGGTGATCGAAGAGTGTCAGTATTCAGACACTATGCAATGTACATAAACCCTGTCAGGTAATTGTTATAGTCTTCAACTTTTTTTGCGGATTGTGTTTTTTAGTTGGTACTTGACGATTGTTGTTCGACAATTTGGTGTCTGTAACAAATGGTAGGTGGTGACATTTGCTTGTGAAAGTCTTGTGTTGATATTGAGATAATACATGTATTATACATGTTTGTAATGATAAAGTTAAATGTTTATGTTTTGACATTCCAGTGCTGAAGATCTCCCTATGGTATCCCGAGCATTAAAGGACTTTTGTCGACTTTTCCGATAGCAGAAACCTCAATATAGTAATGGCAGTATATAGTCTTAATAGATTGGCAGCAAGCATGGCAGAGTGGCAGCATATCTTAGTACAGTGGCAGTGTAATGTGGCATTCACATGTCGATTGGCAGAACCTTGCCTAACATTTCACCAATGTATATTTAAAATGAATGGATATTGACTAGAATTTGTAAAGAATGAAATAGACAGAAAACCTAGGATTGTTGGTGTCTTCCTCAATATGTTAACATAGAGAGGGGTTAACTACAGAGATGTTCATATACACAGGTTTTGCTATTTATACAAATTGCAGAAATCTCTCATTTTATGAGCAAGTTACATATATAGAAACATAACCAAGGGTTCTTAAAACTATAGGCAAATATGTGATTTTGTATTACAATTATTCATTGAGAAACACACCATCAAGGCGTGAATGGAAATAGAGATTTTGAATGTGTGTTATGTTTTAGCAACAACCAATTATGTCATTCTTTCATAAACACTTTATTTGCCCCAGGAGGATGAACAAAATCCAGTGTTGATGATACATATTTAAAAAAAACTAGATATATCCTTCTTAAGGTTTAGGACCCCCTTCCCTAAACGCCTTATATTATATTTATGATCTTCTTGGTGAAAAAAAGTGTGAATGAAGGAAGAATTGGATTTGGCTTTGACTGATTATTAAAATTATGCCATTAGATTTGTATTATATGGTAATTTACCTTATGTGGTAATTTGCCTTATACGGTATTTTGCCACCCTATATGGTAATTTACCTTATATGGTCATTTGTCTGATATGGTAATTTGCCCTAGATGGTAATTTTCCTTAAATGGTGATTTGCCCTATATGGTATTTTGCTGCCCTATGTGGTAAATTACCTAATATGGTAATTTGCCCTATATGGTATTTTGCTGCCCTATATGGTAATTCACCTAATATGGCAATTTGCCCTATGTGGTATTTTGCTGCCCTATATGGTAATTCACCTATTATGGTAATTTGCCCTATGTGGCAATTTGCCTTATATTGTAAATGAGGTATGTACTATCATGTAACCATTTGTATATAAACCTACTTCCCAACCTCATTATGACTTATCATAACTGTATTTATAAATTATTAACAGAGGAGGTGAGTCAATCCCATGAAGTGAAACAATAACTTGGGATTTATTCACATCCTTTGGGTATGATATGGCGGTCATATATGTTTTAAATCTCCAAATATGAAATATGGAGTAAAATGATTTTCATTTCAACTTTTATCAAAAAATATTTTACTAGATTTAGAAAGTCCAAAGAACTGGAACTTAAAACTTATCATGTTGATTCTCCTTTGACTTAAGAAATTCAGAGAAGATGAAATAATTTCTGTTTAATGAAATCTAAGAACTGTGAGCAACATATGATCGAAGAAGTCCCAGCCATACTGTAAAACTGCATTCAGGGTGTCAAATTTTGGAATATATAAGATTGAGAAACCAACACATTTGAGATTACATTGTATATCATCCTCCTGAGCAGGTGTCCAGAATCCGTATCTCCTTCTTTCCCCCTGCTATAACCAATTTGGAAGTGCCCAATAAAACTGAACAACGTGATCTAACTATGCGTCGATGACGTATACATGATATGCTGTCGCAATGTTGCGACATTGAATCAAATTGCAAGTTCTTAATCGGGGAAATGCTAACTGCTTATCGCAGGGGGTAAAAAGAAAGAAGATATTCTGGATTTTGAAGCCCTGTGATCGGAGGATGATTGTATATATTACATTCATATATCTTACGGATGATTTTATAAACTTTGAACATTTATTTTTCAAATAGGAATTATGTACATGTTAAATAAGCTGAAAGCCCTAATGTACAACACTTTTTAGATTTTGGATTTTGTTTTAGTGCTTTTAATCAGTGAACATCACTTAACTTATCAATTGATATCATAAGTATACATTAATAATAAGAATTAGGGGTGTGCACTTTTCATGGACCATTCATTAACAAAGTGTTACACATTCGATTAATTTCCATTCTTATTATTCAAAAAACACAATTGCTGACAAAATTATTTGAGGAATTCAGAGATAATGTAGTCATCTTAATGTCTGATGTTAGAAATCTCCCAATATTATGTGAAATCTCTACATTGTCATATGCAGAACAGTTCAGAAAGTCTCAGAGAGACACTGTATGCCCAGGACATGAAAAGCCTGTTTGGAAATGTATTTCTTTGAAAGGTTCCAATAATTAAATGTGACTATAGATTCACTTTGTTTGAGATTGGCAGCTTAAAAGAGTTTTTCATTGTTAAATGACCTTGTTTGTTTGTGTATTGAGTTTTTAGTTGTGCAGACCTTTCTTGAAAATGTATCAGTCGTGAATGTTATAATCAGGTATTGAATGAAAATATTTGTATGTTATTTGAAAACTTGTATGTTATTTGATAACTGGATATGAATCTTAGTCTTTACCTTTATGGTGCGTTTGTATCATTTTTTTGTGCATTTGTATATTTTATCCATTTATACTGTTAAACTGAAAGTAGAGAAACCTTGTTTGTTAAATTGCCAATGTGGTCATGTGTTTCTAACTTCCATTAGTCTTGCATCAAGCCCTTCCCATTATTACATATTTACTATTAATAAAGGTAACATAGTGCGATACTCTTATTTATAGTATAGTTGCCCTGATAATACCTTTAGGTAATTGAATGGGGCATTGATAAAACTGCCATAGATGAGTTCATGTAGTATGCATTTTCCAATTATACGGCAAGATGCTTGAGGTCGAGGTGTAATCGAAACATGGATACCACCTGGGACTTTTAAAAACTTCGAATATTTTGAGAGAAAGTTAGTTTTGTACTTATGGAGTGTTTTTCTATTCTATTAGTCAGGGGCATGTTTATCATTTATTATTACCTAATTTTCATTTGTTTTCATGTTGTCATGGCAATTTCATATGTTTAGCCCTGGGTTAAACACAAGAAGGGTTAAAGATCAAGGAGATTATCAAAACAGAATTATGTTTTATGAAATGGAGCAATTTTGTCATAAGGGATGTAGGAAATTTCTGACCTGGCTCAGTTTTGTATGTTTTTCATGAGTTGTTTTATCGCTACTGATATGTACAGTGATATTTGCTATCATGTAATATTAATAAACATTTTATAAAAAATATTATTTTCTTTGCACGATCAATGGACTAAATCTTTCAGGTATCCACAACTGATTGATATGTTAAATGGGCTTGTACTCTTGTAATATTAAAAAGTAGATTTCTTTTTTTACTTTTCTTTTGAGATACTGCTCTTTTGAGATAATGTTTAGATTTCCTGTTGCTCAAGTACATGTAATTAGAGGTCAATGATTAAGCTTCCAAAAAGAAATTCCATGTTTTGTTGATACCCAACGCAATCTGTTTTGGGGAAAACCAATCCAACCCTGTCAATCTACAGTGCGTATCAAAAAACGCAACAGATTGTTATCTCAGAAAAGCACAAAACCAGTGATAACAGCATTGATTTTATTCAATGTACCATTAAGCCATGTGTCTCCTCTTTACAATGATTTATCATTCATTATTATTAATATTTGGTCATGGTTGGGCGAGTAATTATTCCATTTGCAAAGTGGGCCAATATTAGCTTGGGGCCAAGTTATCAACATTGTAAAAGTCAGTGTACGGAGCCTGATGCAATATTGGAAGAAAACATAAAACCAATGCTGACTGCATCCTTTTCATTCAATTTACTAAAAAGCCAAATTACTCCACTTTGCAATGGAATATCATTCATTCACAGGGAGTCATGACTGGCTGAATAATCATTAATTTTGCAAGGACCCAAGTTTTAAACATTACAAAAGTCAGTACAAGGGCCATAGGGGCTATTGGAAGAAGGTGTGACAGGTGTGGCATAGAAGTAAAGTGTTCATACTCATACTCTTGCAAGAATACATCCTATACCCTCCAAATTGCCACCACTTCCTTGCACATAAAGATGCGCTCATCTGTCCAAGTCATGCATGGTTCAGCCCTGAGTCATCTGTGGGCTAAAGCAGAGAAAAGCAGCCCATGGGCAATTCTTTCTCTAGGTTTTGCAATATGTGGTGGAGGAATTGTGAGCACTGATGCTCCTGAGATAGCTCCAAAAGAAAAAGTCACAACAATTCAAGTCAGGGGAACTTCCATGGGCACTTAGCCCTTGCACTGATTTTTGCAATATCTAAAACTTGGTCCAGAGCCGATTTTGACCCACTGTGCGAATGGAAGGATTTCTCACCCAACCATTACCACATGTGAATGAATGACATATCATTGCAAAGAGGAGAGACGTGGCTTTATGGTACATTTAATGAAATTGATGGAGTCATCACTAGATTTTTGATTTTACGAGGTTAACTACTTGTTGCGTTTTTTGATACGCCCTGTATTTCAGATTTCAATATTTTCCTTTACTTGCATTATATGATAGTAGCTTTTCATTTTAAAATCATGATTTCAAAGAGAAAATTTTCTTTATAAGCTTAGAAGTACTTTTTAAAAAATCATGGACCAATTTGTTATCCATGTAAAAATATTAATGAGAAATGATTTGAAAAAAATCCAACCAGTGCTTAAAAATGTATATTGATGAATGGAGGTCAGTTAATAAGCCATGAGAGACTAAAATGTTAAGTCTAGAAACAACACGTCCATTGCTCTTTTCGAGACACATTCCTCAATGTACGCTCATATGGAAATCACTCGACACAATGTTTCAGTTGCTCTTACTACCTTCAAAGCCAAATTAACACGATAAATAGTACACAGTATTTTAGGAGTAAGATATTTTAATTTTGTGCAAAATCATAAACAAAACAAACTTTTTCATGGTTTATAGTCAAAGTTTCAATCAGAATGACAAATAAACGGATTAACATGGGGTGTAGTCAGTTTCAATCAGTATGACAAGCAAATTTACATGGGGTATAATCACAGTTTCAATCAGAATGACAAATAAATGGATTTACTGCATGGGGTATAGTCAAAGTTTCAATCAGCATGACAAATAAACAGATTTACATGGGGTATAGTCAAAGTTTCAATCAGAATGACAAATAAATGGATTTACATGGGGTATATTGTATTGTATTGTATTTTGTTTACCACCAATGAAGGTGAGCAATACCTCTTGGGTATATCCCGTATATATACGGTCGTAATTTACGTAATTAACCTTTGAAGATAGACCCAGAAACCCCTCCTTGGAGGAGCCCTGTGTTCTTTTATGTGCACTTGTACATAGACATACAAGTACACACCGCAGCCTTTTGTACGAGTTGCGGACCACTCAGTCAAACACCCTGAAGTACTTTACGCAAACAAGCAAATTTAGTCTTGCCTGAACTGGGGATCGAATTCGAGACCTATTGCGTAAGAGGTACATGCGCTACCGCTGAGCTATATGGGTGGATTATAGTCAAAGTTTCAATCAGCATGACAAATAAACGGATTTACATGGGGTATAATCAAAGTTTCAATCAGAATGACAAACGGATTTACATGGGGTATAGTCAATGTTTCAAGCAGTATGAAAAATAAACAGATTTACATGAGGTATAGTCAAAGTTTCAATCAGAATGACAAATAAACAGATTTACATGGGGTATAGTCAAAGTTTCAATCAGAATGACAAATAAACAGATTTACATGGGGTATAGTCAAAGTTTCAATCAGAATGAAAAATAAACAGATTTACATGGGGTATATTCAAAGTTTCAAGTAGTATGACAAATAAACAGATTTACATGGGGTATAGTCAAAGTTTCAATCAGAATGACAAATAAACGGATTTACATGGGGTATACTCAAAGTTTCAATCAGAATGACAAATAAACAGATTTACATGGGGTATTGTCAAAGTTTCAATCAGTTTGACAAATAAACTGATTTACATGGGGTATAATCAAAGTTTCAATCAGAATGACAAACGGATTTACATGGGGTATAGTCAATGTTTCAAGCAGTATGAAAAATAAACAGATTTACATGAGGTATAGTCAAAGTTTCAATCAGAATGACAAATAAACAGATTTACATGGGGTATATTCAAAGTTTCAATCAGAATGACAAATAAACAGATTTACATGGGGTATAGTCAAAGTTTCAATCAGAATGACAAATAAAACGGATTTACACGCATGGGATGTAGTCTAAGTTTCAATCAGAATGACAAATAAATGGATTTACATGGGATCTAGTCAAAGTTTCAATCTGTAAGACAAATAAACTGATTTACATGGGGTATAGTCAAAGTTTCAATTAACCCATATGACTTTGCAATGGGTTCTGTGCGATTATAGCAATAGTTAATAGAAATGATAGTATGCAATGACTGAACAAACATCTTCAGCATCAGACATAACAACCAATGTATTTATTGTCAAATTATAATGATTATACTGTAATAATTTTTATTAGTATATAATTATAATTAGTATATTAGTATATAATATTTCATCTAACACAATATAATATCATAACCAACATAATATAATATCAATATAATATCACACAACCATTATGTAACGTTATATTTGCTATTAAGCTAAGTAAAAATGAAAAACTGTACATTTTAATCATGGCTATTCCTGATGATAAATAAAAGCAGTTCTCAAAACTTCAAATCTGACTTCAGATTTGAGATTAACCTTTGCTCAACCTTCAATAACCTTCCAAAGATCAAAAAAGTTTATTTTTGGTTTTTGGTTCCTTTATTCAGCTTAATCACAAAATACCTACTGAGGTCTGAAAAAGTAAAATTGTCAAGGTCAGGGCTATCCAACTAGATTACAAACGGTGCTAACATATGTAACAATTGTTGCACCTCTGTAGTGGTGACATTTTGTCCTGTTAATGCCTTGTTGGTTTTACCATTGTCCAATTCTAGCTTTGAAGTCAACCTTCCCTGTTTCCAAATTCTTCTTGAGATTTTCACTACCCAATCGACCTGAAAACATAATTATCAAATACTTGTTTTTTCACGTTTATATTAAAGAATGGAGAACATGTGTCAAAGTATCGAGGCCATCGGCCATTACTTCACCTAATATCCAATACTCATAGTTTATCCATAACATAAAAGGGTATTTCTCTTACTAGCTCGTTTAAGTGTAGCAACAGCTTCATCAGCATCAACTGATTTGTGGTAGTTGTCAATCCAGTATCGTGCCTGGAGGTCAAGCTCTTCCTCAGCTGGGAGTGGATTGGGGTCATTTGATATGAAAAGACGAGCTGGAAATGTGACGTGAATCATGTGACTGAATGTATAAATCAAACTATACGAAAATTTTAGTTATAACCAGTTCACCCCTTGCAGTTCACCATAGTTCGTGCATTTGTTATCAGTTCAACGGTGGTATCAACGGTTGTGTATGTTACCGACTATGACAAACGCTTGCAGAATAGAACTAATTTTTGTGTTATAACATTACATAGTAAAAAATGTTTATGATACATATCTGGGAATGGAGAAAATTAACAACAACAAAAAACAAAGCGTTAAATTGTTTTTGACATTTTGTCAATAAAAACAAGACGATCGTTTCAAAGACAGCAAAGCATACCCATACCCAGAATTCCAGTCTTACATGACTTACCCGCAAGACCAGATATGAATGGTGAATCCAGATCTCTGTACTCTACATTGTTCCAGTCCAAACCCCAATTTGCTTGGATCAAATCTTTCTTGGCTTGCAGGCGCTTGTGCAATGTTTCACCCTTGTTCTGAGTGTCTTCAAAGGCCCTCTTAGAAACCTAACAAAGATTGAAGTGACGTTATTAGACGATGCAAAAGGCCAAGGAATACATCTTCCGATCGCAGAGCTCGAAATCCAGAATATCATCTGAACGAGATCTATAGTTCTGTGTTCAGAGGATGGAGGAATACGTTATAGAAGCATACATGAATAAGGATGACAGATATCGAAGAATGGTTAATATAATGTAATGAAAACGCTTACATTTTACTGCATAAATGCCTTACCATAAAATGAAATAACTAGGTAGTGTTTTTTAGAGAAAAGTTAGTTGCTTTTAAAGGGCTTTAAAGGCCCCGGACAAAGTTTGAAAACATTGTTTAACCAACGAAAAAATATCATTAATTATTTGTACTTTAATTTTCGGATATTTGAATTTACCGCCATTTTGCAAGTTTTCCAGTGATCATCAAATACAACACAATTTGCACTATGAAACACATTATTGTCTACACTCCATTGGATAGATCAAGTAAAAATTACGTAATTTCAAAAGTATACATTGCGTATCAAAAAAACGCAACAAGTTATCTAGTAAAATCACAAAAGTAGTGATGACTACATCAATTTCATTGAATGTACCATAAAGCCATGTCTCTCTTCTTTGCAATGATATGTCATTCATCCACATGTGGTAATGGCTCGGTGAGAAATCCTTCCATTTGCACAGTGGGTCAAAATCGACTGTGCACCAAGTTTTAGATATTGCAAAAATCAGTGCAATGGCTAAGTGCCAATGGAAGTTTCCCTGACTTGAATTATTGTGACTTTTTCTTTTGGAGCTATCTCAGGAGCATCTGTACTCACAATTCCTCCACCAGATATTGCAAAACATCGAGAAAGATTTTCCCATGGGCTGCTTTTCTTTGCTTTAACCAATACATGATTCAGGGCTGAACCATGCATGACGTGGACAGATGAGCGCATCTTTACGTGCAAGGGAATGGTGGCAATTTGGAGGGGTATAGGATTATTCTTGCAAGAGTAGGAGTATGAACACTGTGATACAACGTCAGATACTGTACATCGCGGCATTTTACTGCATTTTTAATGCGTACTTACTTTTAAAACCGCAATATCTCGACAGCAAAATCATATTTTTCTACAATTTTTCGTCATCAGTTGAACACGTATGTCCATGAAATATTTTGCCTATCAGAATTCCAAATAACTGATTTGGGACTTTTTAAATGAGAATCACGCAAGCCGTATTATGCGACTTTCTATGCTAAAACCGGGTGTCGACTGTAACATTTTAAAGAAAAGTGATTTTAATTTTAAACGAAAAATGAAGATAACTTTTTCATTTCCCAACGGATCTTTTTCAAATTTTCACAATATTTAAATTTACCATTTTGGAAAAGACAAACAGATTCTGTGTGATGACGTCATAATATAACAATGCTAACTTAACGCTTATATTTATGCAAAAAAAGTGTCGACAGGCAGAATTTCGTACCAACAAGATATATATTTTGATCAATTAAACATTAAATCGTTTGAAAGGTGAATTATTCTTTTTTGATTCCTGAAAGGCATATTATATTCTATATTTTTATCAAAAAAACTATATCATTTCGATTAAAATTCAGTCTGTAAGAAGTATAAATTGAAAGAAATATGAAGTGAAGCCATGTGAAAAATTCACAAAATTACGTTTCATTTTTTGAGTTCAAATATTTCTAATTAAGGGATAAACATTCAAAACTTTCCAATGTTTCAGCATGTTCTTTTAAATATACCCCTTACTACATACAATTAATTTCATTTAATTTGAACCAGTATATTTTGAGATAGACATCGTTTTATCACCGCAACCCCAAGTGAAGCCTTTACAAAATAAGACGTTACGCCGTTAGCGTATCATATGTTCTCCTTTATTATTCATTGCTTTAAATAAATAAAACTAAATATTCGAGTTAAAATAAATTACAAATAATGCATTTAACAATCCTTAATATCTTCCCGTCTGTGTTTATCAGTTGAATATGACAAGGGGCATTGTGAAAGAGTCTAGAAAGACGGTGCGACAACGAGAGCGCAGGGCCGAAAAGCGCGACAAAGAAGAAAACGGGTAGGGTTTGAAATGTCTACTTTCTGGTGATTCTAATTCTGTATATCGTGACACAACCTTTTTGAATATAGAATTGTATTGAAGCGCACATTAATCTGAACAAAACTTGAAGTTTTAAGAAGATTCCACGAATATTAAAACATTTGCAATTACTTGGAGGAGCATTGCGCATATTTATCGCGTAAATCTTTGCATTTTGTCGGTAAAATGAACAATTACACTGTTACGCCGTGATGTACAGTATCTGACGTCGTATCTTTATACTGTCTATGCCATACCTGTCACACCTTCTTCCAATAGCCCCTATGCAACTTGTACTGACTTTTGCAATGTTTTAAACTTGGGTCCGAGCTGAATTTTGCCCCACTTTTAATGATTATTCGGCCATAGAATGAATGATATTCCATTGCAAAGAGGAGTAGTTTGGCTTTTTTGGTACATTGAATTAAAAGGATGCAGTCAGCATTGGTTTTATGTTTTCGTCCAATATTGCATCGGGCTTCATACATTGACTTTTGCAATGTTTATAACTTGGCCCGAAGCTAATTTTGGCCCACTTTGCAAATGGAATGATTACTCGCCCAACCATGACCAAATATCAATGAAGGATATATCATTGTAAAGAAGAGACACATGGCTTTATGGTGCATTGAATGAAATCATTGCTGTTATCACTGGTTTTGTGCTTTTCCAAGATAATAATCTGTTGCGTTTTTTTTGATACGCACTGTATATATTATTAAGATTGGAAGATATATTTATCATGAAAACACTGTTTAAATGTATAATGCATGTACTTCTTTATACATTTTATATATTCTCTGCAATTGCAATAAAAGTTTATGCCATGCCCTTATAATCAGTAGCCGTGCCAATAAATAAATATAGATAAATGAGCCTGGCCATAGGAAAACCGGTCTTATCACAAAAATTAAAATTGTACTACAGAGCCAAAAGTGTGCCCAAGATTAAGAGGAAGATGTGCTGAATTCATATCCGACTTTTGGTCTATAAATGCAAGGGGAAAATGTTAAGACGCAAGGCATGGCTCATTTGAAAGGTCTTTGTGCCTTTTAAGATAAACAAAAATCAGAATATTGAAAACATCTTTGATAAGACCCCTTTTCCTGTGGCCTGGCTCAAATATAAATTCAATAATCAAATCTAATTTTTATGCATGCATTAAATAGTAAGTCTAGTTGCCTTTATTGCACATCAATTACATTATATTATATTATATACTAGTATATTAAGAGTTGCTTTTAAACATATCTCAATATTATTTGCTTTTATGTAAGCGCAAGACCAGTTGCCACGGCCATATTAGTTTTTGAATGCACTTGGTTTATGATAAAGTGGTTTCTTGGCGCAATACCATAGTTCACGCAGTACATGTTTTTATCGAAATGATCATAAACAAGTATTACCATCCTCTATTTGCATGATGACTGAATTTGTGGTTAAAAATGATGAAATGAGAGTCTAACATTGTTCGTTCGGGCCTTCATTTTCTAAACTGAGTTATCTTACTCTCCAAAAAGGAGATTACATAAGTCACCGAAATGACTGAAATGAACGAAATGATATATCTAAAAAATATGTGAGAATTAACATTGAGTCTAACTGTATTTTTAAATATTGATTTGTATCTAAAAGTGCTTTTGGATGCATGAACTCTAAATCAACATTACCTTAAGGATGTTCCCTGGTCAGATAGGAAAATATTCAATAGTATTTAACTTTTTCTCAAAAATGGTTTTCTGGGATTCTCACGGGCAACAAAGAATATTAAAACTTTAAAAACCATATGTTAGTGTGCTTTTTTCTGAGCAAGAGGCCTCTAAAGTGTCAATATTTGACAAAAGTGGGCGTGGCACTTTCTCATTGAAACCCATGTTAAAAATCAGGTTTTCACCCCAAAACACACTTTTGAATATTTAACTTTTTCTTAAACTCACAGAAACACTTAGTTATGCTATGTACTTCACATTTTGAAAAGAAAAATTAGGGGTTGGTGTTCATCGTTTTCAACTTCGTCCAGGGAACATCCTTAAGGAAATCTGTATTGTTTCAGCCTTTAAACACCACACAATGCGGGCACAATTTGCAATGACCAAGATTAATGGGAAAAATGTTATGTATGGTGCGTTCTGATATGAAGCAAGACACTCCATAAGCTTACCCTCCATAATCCTCCTGAACCTGGCGTTGCAGTTTCGCCGTCAGCAGTCTCCAAGGATACGATTCTTTTCATAAAACCCTGATCATCTGGGAAGATGTTGGAGTTCTGAATTTCTTCCGTGACGTCATTAACGACCTCCTTCCCTCTTGCAGTAACATCGAGTAGTCGCTCATCAACTGGGAACGCTTGAAACAGGGGAAATGATGGTTTTAGTTTTGGTTTCTAGTTTGAAGTGCTGTAACATTGTGACAAGTCTGATGGTCATTAGAAATATAATGGACTTGTAGGAAATTGAATGTTGTACAAATGTGCCTATTACCAGGGAGTCCTTTCAAGAGTAATCAATAAAAGTAAAATTATAATTTCTTTAAAAGATTGTAAGCAAAATTTTGTGGTTGTCGATGGATTATGATGCAGCAAGTGGGAATGCCCCATAATCGAGAATGCAACGTAAAGTGGATCTTAGGATAGGCAAACATAAACTACGACGAAATAAATAGTAGTAAATCTTACCCGGTCCATTTCTTTCTTCCAGTTCGAGTGCAAGCTGGGTGAGGAGACGTTTAAGACCCCATCACCAGCTGGAATACAAATGCTTATTCCTTATGGGACATACTAGTAATTGTGTATGTTGTGTGATTTATCCCGGGAATCAAAACCTGTATATGCATATTGTATTTTCGTTCAGGATGTTTCCGGAAGCACGATCGCCATATTCCAGATTTGAAGATGTATCTTTTGAGTCTCGTAATAATTAAGAAACTGTGTTTATATTATAAAGTAGAATAAAGATAACCAGGAAACATAAATTAATATCTTATGTTCGGTCAGTCTGATAGAACAGTGTACGCTCAACTGGTTTCAACTTTCAACCTCTTGGTAACTACGTTTACTTTTATCGAAGGTAGTCTATTATTCATTTGTTGGTTCTGGTCACTGCGCTCTTTGGTTGGGCTAGCTGCCGTAGTCAGCTATTGGCGGTTGTTAGCCCTATCGGCAAAAAGTATTGTTATATAACATTATGTAATTTATAATAAAATTACGTCATTATATTATATAGCCAACTACAAACCTATAAAGTTTTGTTCCTTTTACTTTTGCCTACCTAGGAGCGCATGTACCCAGGACACTACAGCTTCATAAATATCTATTTTAAATCTATTTGCATTGTTTTATACAATCCCATACTTAGCGCTTGTATTCGCAAATGCAACTTTCGGCTGTCAGCTATCGGAAAAACCTAATTATTTTATGATCAACTCATTTAGATATGAATGGAAAAATGGCAAGTACATGTACCTTTGATATTTAAATGAGTTGCCCATAAACTAGTAGGCTAATCCGGTAGCCGACAGCCGAAAGTTGCAATCGCGAATACAAGCTTAGAAATTGTTAAAAATCAAAATCACTGCAATTGTGTTCTGAATGTCTGGCAATTAACAATTAATGCATGTTAAGATCTAATGAAAAATAAATGTCTCGCGATTAACGCGATAAACGCTTGTTAAGATGTAAAGATAAAAAAAATATCTCACAATTAATGTATAGATGTACTCTGAGCGCAGAAGGGCAGAGGATAGTTAAAGTGCAACAAAAAGTGACGAAGCTATATTTTGAGCATCCTGCGAACACCTCCAGAACATCCAGAACTCGTACCTCTTTCTTCTTGGAACAAGAAGGTTCGAGTTCTAGAGGCCTGTGTTCGGAGGATGTCTTTTGAGTAGCTGAGTGAAACGAAGGTGAATGGTAGTTTGGAATATGTTTAGATAAATTTCTTACTTTGAAGAGAATACATATGATTGTACTTTTGAAAGAATAATATAATCGATGTGTTAGCCGTTACATCAGTTTCAACTAAGTATCAATGATTGCTCCCGAGTGAGATAAAATGAGAATACATACATACCCACGGCTGATGATCCTACTGCAAAGAGAACAAGTATCAATGTAACGTGCTGCATCTCGGAGTGAGTATTTAAACTGCTTTTGTTCAAAATGTTGTCTCTTTGTACAACGCTTGTGTTGATCCAAATGTCTCGAATGTTACGTATTTATACCAGCGAGTGAAAAGAGGGTCTATAGGTGATAGCACTTTTCCACATGGGTAACTACAGTGTGTTTCAAAAAATGTTACACTTACAAAAAGTTCAATATCTCATAATTTTGACTTTTCCCCTAAAATGTACTTTGGATAACAAAAGACAAATCTTTCTCAAATAATTTGACACCGTCAGATTCAAAATCTGTCCTTGATTGCCTCCACAGGACAGCTTTTAGTGTCCCATGGTAAAATCTGACTTGCGCCAACTTCTAAGTGATTGGATGGACCAAATGACAAAAGAGGAACAGTTTCTTTTACATTTAACTTTCTTCTGAGTAGAAGCTTGACGTTTAACTGAGTCATTCTGTAATTTTCCTATTTGTCTTACATATGATCATTGGATCTATCCACATAAACATTTGGTCCCCTCAACATGTACTCAAAAGCAAATCTGAGGTACCCTTGCCCATGCCCACATGCATTGTAATATCACACTGATTCTATCAATTGTTTTTGCTCAAGTTCATTCAGGTCAGTTTGTTATGCTGTAAAGCCCTTTCAGAGGCCCTTCAAAAATCAAGGGTGTAAAGTAGGATGACCCTGGGGGCCAATCCATTTTGTAATTCAATGCTATCTTCTGATTTCCAAGAGTTCTACCAAACAATCTGTCACATGCTTTTGTACCATCCTGTTGCCATCATACGTAACAAAATTGAACACACTGACAATGAAATCTTGCATTTCTATCCAGTAAAGAAACAACTGGATCATTGACCATATCAAGATATCACTGTCCACAGCATTCACGCCAAAAAAAGAATTGAACACCACATATCCAACCACTGAGAAGTTGGCGCAAATCGGATTTCACATGCGTCTATAAAATCTCTCCTGTGCAGCCAATCATGGACGGATTTTGAATCTGACGGTGTGGATTTATTCGAGAAAAACTGGTCTTTCGGTATCTAAGTATATTTTAGGGGAAAAGTCAAAATCATGAAAGATATTGAACTTTTTGTAAGTGTAAAAATTTTTTGAGACACACTGTAGTTCACCAATCGACTTATTTCCCCGTCTAGCCAACAGGGGTTGTACCAAATTAAGCGTGACAGTTGAACGCGCGGGGTTAGGTACAACACGAGGGTGATGAAATTTGATTCCTATGGCTTTGTATAAAAAAAACTCCTACCTCCTACCCACCTACCCACCTACGTGGAACATGATACAGTCATTGAAGGGTTCAATTTTAAAGATTATTAAATCTCAAAATAGCTCAAATTATTAGAATTTCTACAATTCCGGCTTTATTTTATGACTAGACAGATGACAGATCCATAAATAAAAGCATATGGATGCATTTTAATGTGTTATGACCTGAGGGCGCCACAGGGGAATAAATAACTAACGACCGTGAGCATAGGTCCAACAAGCCAGATAAAGAAATTGAAAGAAAGTGTGCTAAATTCGATGCTCCGAGTGGCAATCGAACCCAGCTTGGATGTAGTAGCAACTTGCTATCAAGGGTCGTTACAAATGCATCTATAATTCATCATAAACTAAGATTTAATAAACTAAGATCTTTAGAATTGAACCCTTCAAAGACTGTATCATGTCCCACGTACAGGTACGTGGGTAGGTGGGTATGAGTTTTTTTTTATACAAAGCCTATTCCTATATGTAAATGTCTGTAACAATATCCTAGACAGTGAACTTCACAGTGAATTTCATACTAAAACCTACACAAAGTGCAATAGTATACGGCATGACGCGCAGGTAAATTTGCCTGAGGCACAGTATAACGCAAATTCAAATTCCTTGTGTTATACCTTATGCCTTGGTGACATTTGCTCCGATTTTCACTACGGCGTCCGGCCGATTGAGTATTTTGTTTAAAATTTAATACAATATTGAACAAAACACTCAATCGGCCGGGCGCCGGCCGATGGATCGGGGCAAATGTGACCCAAGCATTACCGTTACCGCGCGTTATACTATACTACATTCGGAGTTTTTGTAGGTTTAACTCTGACATTCTCTGTCAAGCTAAGTTCACTGTCTTGGCTTTTGTTTATAGACATTTACATAATATAAAAAATCTAGAAACTAGACCACATCTTCCTGACTATGTAATCATCATTTTGTTCAAATCTTATCACCCTGTGTTGTACCTAATGCCTGGGTCACATTTGCTCCGTTTCATCGGCCGGCGCCCGGCCGATTGAGTGTTTTGTTCAAAATTGTATTCAGTTTAGAACAAAATACTCAATCGCCCGGGCGCCGGCCGATGAATCGCAGCAAATGTGACCAAGGTATTACCCCGCGTGTTCGACTGTCACGCTTATATTGGTACACATCCTGTGTAGCCGTCAATGACCTCTTTCCCTTATTATCTTATACACAATCTGAATGTTAAGAAAGGGGACCATAATCCCCGGGGGACCATAATTTCTTTCACACCGGTCATTAATTGCATTCTTGACCGACAATATTGATCACCACTATGATATAGTAAAATGAATGCCTAAACTAGCACTCAAACCCCTAGAACTGGCCCGGCAAGGTGGTAATACTTGGTGTTTATCTGAGTAATCAAAGGATTGCAGTTACTCAAAGTTACTGGGCAACCAATTTTGACACTTGTTGGTGGAGTTATATATATTTGTTACATGACCCTGATGTTGAACAGTCAGAATCAATAAAAAATCCAAACCATAAAGCTGTGCTCAATGTGAAAATTAACAGTAAAGCGACTTTTTCTGATATTTCCTTCATCAAATGGCAGTCATCTTGGTTTTCATTGGTTTTCCCCCTCCAAATTAAACTGGCGGGAAATTCAAAAATTTGAAAAAATCTAAAAACCTAAAAGGTATCTCAAAGAAATAATTTTCTTTTCAATTCTTCATGTATCTTTAAATTATTTCTACTTTGAATGCCATACATGTTGCCATTGGTGTTTTTTCTATGATAACGACTATTTTTTTGTTAAAGGATACTTATTTTAACTCTCAGCAGGGGGTTCATAGTGCATCAAAACTCAGGAAAGGTGCATTTACATTTTATCAATTATATAACTAGGACAGTAATAAAAAGCATATTTCACGTACATTTAACTGAGGGACCAAAAGGGGATATATCCTGACTCATCCTTTACAGTTTGAAATTTGATTTCTTTTGTGTTTACTATTCAACTATTGAGTGAGTAAATTAGGTTATAATTAGGCCAGGTTCAGTGCACTGAATGTGACAGACCAGGTGTTAACATTGAGGATGGATTAATTTGTAAATAAGCTTAGATCAATACTCTAGGAAGCAACACAAATTAATAAATTGTTTTATTTTAAAGAATGCAGACTAAAAAAATACAAATACATTTGCATAATATAGTTTTTAAATTATGGAAACTATCAAAAACAGTCAATCGTCTTTTGTGCCACAATCGTTTTTGATAGCTTGCCAAGTGTCCATTTTTTAAAATCAATAGGAAACGAATGTACTCTTCTTTTGGAGCAACTGTACATTCTTTAAACTTTACACTTCATTCTATTGTGTTTCTAATACTTTAGTGGGGTTTGAATTAGCTATTAACTCACGTAGCTTTCTTTTCAACCCGATATTAAAAGTTTTAGATAAGCTGATTAAAGTGTTCATATGTACGATGAAAACTAAATATTGAGCATCGATTGAATATGCGCTACTGGGTGTAAGGAGAACTCGGTTCTGCTCATGCATGCTACCATTTACATTCGTTTCACTTCGCTCCGTATGTCGTAAATAGAGATCTAGACTCAGGGCGTACTGCGTGTAAATGCACCCATCAGGAAGAGTTAAGTTCCAATCTGAATGTCATACAACATTCTGTGTGAAAGGTAAGTTAACACTTCTATACTGTATACATTCAGTTGAACAAGTTGGATTGGTAGTGAAAATATAGGATCATACCTTATACAAAATGCCACAAGAAGGATACGGAAATTCACGGAGAGTACGTCACCCCCACCTTTATTAAGTACAAAATAAAGCCGAAGGGGTGACTTAATCCCCTGCAGAAAGGATGGGTATCGATATGGTGAACTTTTTGAACACACGTTTCTCTTAAACCAGTCATCAAATTGTAAATTTTACACATCGTCAATTTAATGGTCATCTTTCGAATGGTGACAATATAATTTGAAATAAATATACATACTTTTCTCTATATTCAGATATTGTTTTAGAAAACACATCAGCCACCTCTTTTGTTCTAGGTATCATATGTTCGGAATGAAATGAAACATCTTTCCGAACCTCATTGGAACTAAACGACATAAACACAAAGTGCTTAGGTCTCTCAATATTGTAATTGTATGTAGGAAAGTTTGGTTGATTTAAACAAGTATCTTGTTAATGAAATAAAAGGTTTATCTTATTTAAACCTATTTTGGGGGTTTTTGTTTTAATTTTTTGAATACATTTTGTAAAATCAACCAAAATTTCCTTTGTATAACTTTGTAATATTGAGAGGTCTAAAAAAATGTTGTATATGCTATTTTGTTCCCTCGAGCTTCGGAAAGCTATTTTATTTCATTCTCAAGAATTGGTAAAAAGCAACAAAAAACAATTATACCAAAAAACCCAAAAATGTTAATAAAAACAGTTATATAAAATATATGTAAATAATTTTCGCATTAAATTGGTGTCAATCAGTCAACATTACATAAAGGACCGTGTTTTTTACAGAATGTTTTCAATAATTGGTTTAAGAGAAAAACATTGTTGAATTCAGTTCACAATATCGATACCTATCCTTTGTGAAATAATGCGTGATGTAACAAAAATTGTATGTGTATGCGAACAGCCACAGTAGGAAATTACTATTTTGGAGTTTTCTTTCTAAGATTTTGCTCATAAGCATAACTTCAATTTGTGTATAGCTACGTTAAAAGTGAATTGAAAGTTGGCCTTTGCAAAAATTGTACTTATTCTTATAAAGATGTATATTTTATCGATTAACTCCAATGCTCTTCTCACCGGAAATGAATAGTTTTCTTCTACTACTGTATAAGGTGGATTGTATGCTTATATGATTTCATGTCATATATCATTATGATTCACAACCATTAACCATGTCTAAACGAGACAAGGGCCCACTTATAAAAACGTTTTTATAATTGATGGCTTCTTATAAATTGATGGAGCTGCGCGTCAAATGGTGACGTAGCACACACATTCTATACGTTATAAAAATCAAAAAGGGTATAAGTACACGTACAAAGGTGAACGGGAACGTCTGAACGTCTAAACTGATCGTCTTGTATTGCATTTGTTCTGATTTTTTCTTTATTTGGATAACAAGCCATGTTTCGTCAACTATTTGGACATTTGGTTTGGCTAATTATTTACATGTTAAAGCCAATTATATTGCAAAAAGGTTAGTATGGGGAATGTGACAAATCGGTATGACAACCTTTTGACATCTGAGTGTTCAGCCTAGATGTCTCGATAACAGTACATTACTGAATTTATCACGCGGTACAAACTTCGACCGTTAATTTAAATTTTTGACCTACCAGGTGTTTGAAAATCAAGGATTGCGAGTCTCATACTGCACCGTTTTTCTTCAAACTTGTTCCATTCAAAGCACAAGAAAAATGCCTTTCTGTTGGTACATTATTCTGCTATACAGAGTCCCTACTTTCAGCGGCATTTTGGTCCCCAGCTGTGAGAAGGGCTTCTCACAACTGGGGACCAAAACGCTGCTGAAACGAGCGACTCTTTTCAATAAAGCAATGTACCAACAGAAAGGCAATTTTGTTTTGCTTTGAATGGAACAAGTTTGAAGAAAAACGGTGCAGTATGAGACTCGCAATCCTTGATTTTCAAGCACCTGGTAGGTCAAAAATTTAAATTAACGGTCGAAGTTTGTACCGCTTGATTTATGCCGTATTTGTTTTGGTATGAATCCATAAAATCTCTCAGTATAGAGTATATATTAGCTATCACTTTCCCAGAGCGTGTGCTATTGAACAATTTCTAGTTAAGCTTTATCTCATTGATTGATGCATCCAGCATTGTTCGGGAACGGCTCTTCTGGTAAAATGTACGATAACTTCCCGCATCTTACTAATCCCCACTGAGTCCCCTGATCCGGGCCCTTGATCTCCCTCTTTGACACTCAGGCGCGTAGCCAGGCATACGCGAGCCAGGCGTACCCTAAATGATGGAACAAAAATAAGTTGTTGTAAATAAAGTAAAACAAAAAAAGCAAAACAATGTACATGATAAATAAATAGTGCCCCATTACAGTCTGATATCGCTTAGAACACACCATGTAAGGTCTAAAATCAAAAAATTCCGGGGGTACCCCTGATCAGTGATCCCCTAGTTTTGCTCGGCCTTCGGCCTCGCGTACCTGCAACCAAAATCCTGGTTACGCCACTGCACTAATCCTCCCTCTTTCTCAATTTCTTCATTCGGTCACAGCATAACTTGGGTTCTTAATAAATCTACTTTAACAATTCATTTTCAGATTTTGGTGCGAAGGAAGAAGGATGAAAGTTTAGGAATCAAGCAACTGTGACCTTGCGCCTGTAATGAAAAGTTAAGAACCAGTTACGTAGGTTTGTGTGGCTGCATTAAAAATGGAGGTAAACGAAACAGATGAGAGCTACAGACAAAACCTAGGAAACACCTTTGCATGTGATATCTGTGGCGAAACATTCGCACGTTCATCTTTTCTTAAACTGCATTATAAAATACATACCGGAGAAAATGGATTTAAATGTGATGTTTGTTTGAAAACATTTGCATGTAAACCTGATATTCAGTGCCACTATAAATTACATGTTAGATCTATTTGTGGAGAGAAACCCTACAAATGTGATGTTTGTTCCGCACAATTTAAGTCCAGATCCTGTTTGAAAATACATTATAAAGTACACACTTTTATTGGAATAAAAAAGAACTATAAATGTGATGTCTGCCCGAGAGCATTTACAGCGAATTCAAGTCTACAAATACATAAGCAAAGACATGCTGGAAAACGGGATTTCAAATGTGATATTTGTTTTAAAGCGTTTGTTTGCAAAAATGATCTTAAATCTCATTACGTACTACACGAGAAAAGTGGTTCAAAAGACTACAAATGTGATATTTGTTGTAAAAGATTCGCATTTAAATCCTATCTAAAAACTCATTTTATAATACATACTGGGAGGAAAGACTTCAAATGTAAAGTTTGCTCTAAATTGTTTTTACGAAGTTCTGATCTAAAAAGACATAATAGAATACACACTGGAAAAAAAGATTACAAATGTAAAGTTTGCGCAAAAGCATTTAGACATTATGGTAGTCTTAAAATACATTATAAAACACACACTGGAGAAAAAGGATACAAATGCGATGTTTGTTTCAAAGAATTTTCACAGGGACCTCATCTCAAAACACATCAATTGATACATTTTGGAAAAATGGATTTCAAATGTGATGTTTGTTCGAAAACATTTTTACGAAAATGTGGACTAAAATCACATAGTAAAATACATATTGAAAGGAAAGACTACAAATGTGATATCTGTTCTAGAACATTTCGCACAAAACACAATCTAAAAAAGCATTCCGTCATACATTCTGGACAAAGAGATTTTAAATGTGACACTTGTTTCAAAACATATTTTCACAAGTCGGCACTTGAATCACATTATGAAATACATACTGAAATACGAAAATCGTTCAAGTGTGATCTTTGTCCAAAAGCATATTCTCACAAAACGAGTCTTCGACATCACATAAAATGTCATACCGTGAGTGTAAAGAAGGACTACAAATGTAATAAGTGTCCTAAAACATATACAACACGTTTTCAACTCAAAAGCCATAATAAAATACATACTGGAGAAAGAAATTTTAAATGTGATATCTGTCAAAAATCATTTGCGCATAAGAACAATCTAAGATTACATCTTATATTACATACGGGTGGTGAAAAGAAGTTCAGATGTGATGTTTGTTCTAAAGCATTTTTACGAAATGGTGACCTTAAAGCACACTATACAGTACACACTGGAGAAAAAGACTACAAATGTAATATTTGTGCCAAGACATTCAGACTTAAATGTAGTCTTAATGTACATTATAAAATACATACAGGGGAGAAAAACTACAAATGTGATATTTGCTCCAAATCATTTATAAGCAGTAGCAAGCTTAAAAGTCATAATAAAATACACACTGGAGAAAAGATTTATAAATGTGATATATGTCAAAAAACATTTGCAGAGAATGGAAATCTGAAACGTCATCTTAAAATACATATTGGCGAAAATGATTTCAAATGTTTAAAAGCATTTTCAGTGAATACCAAAACATATGAAAGACAAACTGAATTGAAATGTTTCGTTCTTCTAAAACGTTTGCCTGAACATCTATCTATACCACACTAGAAATAGAATTATGTTGTACGAAATGGAGCAAATTAAGGGATGTAGGAAATTTCTGACCTGGCTCATTTTGTATGTTTTTATGAGTTGTCTTATGGCTACTGCTTTGTACATTGATATTTGTCAGTAATAAACATTTTTTAAAATACTCTTCTTTGTTTAATCATAGTAGCTGAGCGGAGGAGCGAGTACCAATTACTCAGTAGGTCCCGGATTCAGGGATTCGATCCCCGGTAGCCTTGCCCAAGTCGGTATTTTTTTTACTTATCTGATCTTGAATTATTACCGATCTCCACTGTTATTACGCTGAAATATTCAACGGTTTCGAGATTTCCATAATACCTACCCTATCAGGGGTATCGCGAAACCTTATTGATTGACAGATATCGCGTGGACACGACGTGTGACTTCAGGCTGAATGACCAATCAAAACGTTATCAGGTTGAACTGCATAAACAAAACAGACTTCCCATCTACGATTTGAAATTCAATGATCTGATCGAGTGTTTCTTTAGAGTTAGAATATATTATGTAATTAAATGTACATTGGAAGGTAAGAGTCGTTAATATAAATTAAATCATGCTATTCAATGTTGATTTAAATCTGATTTCGCGATGAAAATGCACGAAGACCTATAAATATGCAGTGCGTATCAAAAAACGCAACAGATTTTTATCTCGGAAAAGCACAAAACCAGTGATGGATAACAGCATTGATTAAATTTAATGCACCATAAAGCCATGTGTCTTCTCTTTACAATGATATATCATTCATTGATATTTGGTCATGGTTGGGCGAGTAATCATTCCATTTGCCAAGTCGGCCAAAATTAGCTTTTGACCAAGTTATAAACATCGCAAAAGTCAGTGTACGGAGCCCGATGCAAAATTGGAAGAAAACATAAAACCAATGCTGACTGCATCCTTTTCATTCAATGTACCAAAAAGCCAAATTACTCCTCTTTGCAAATGGAATATCATTCATTCACAGAGAGTCATGGCTGGCGGAATAATCATTAATTTTGCAAAGTGGGGCAAAATTCAGCTCGGACCCAAGTTTTAAACATTGCAAAAGTCAGTACAAGGGGCATAGGGGCTATTGGAAGAAGGTGTGACAGGTGTTGCATAGACAGTAAAGTGTTCATACTCATACTCTTGCAAGAATACATCCTATACCCCTCCAAATTTCCACCACTTCCTTGCACATAAAGATGCGCTCATCTGTCCACGTCATGCATGGTTCAGCCCTGAGTCATCTGTGGGTTAAATCAGAGAAAAGCAGCCCATGGGCAATTCTTTCTCGAGGTTTTGCAATATCTGGTGAAGGAATTGTGAGCGCAGATGCTCCTGAGATAGCTCCAAAAGAAAAAGTCACAACAATTCAAGTCAGGGGATTAGGGGAACTTCCATTGGCACTTAGCCCTTGCACTGGTTTTTGCAATATCTAAAACTTGGCCCAGAGTTGATTTTGACCCACTGTGTAAATGGAAGGATTTCTCACCCAACCATTACCACATGTGAATGAATGACATATCATTGCAAAGAGGAGAGACGTGGCTTTGTGGTACATCAAATGAAATTCATGTAGTCATCACTAGTTTTGGAATTGCACGAGATAACTACTTGTTGCGTTTTTTTTATACGCCCTATACAGGTATATGTAGCGGCTAGCGGGTCATGTCGTCGATCGGTGATTGAATCTCAGCCTACATGTTCAGCGAACGTTTCAACGTTTATTGTTGAAATCTTCTCACCTTTTGTTATCCGATCGATGCTCCGGCATCCACTAAACTCTCACTAATATTTATCTGATAAAATATTTGTATTTTCATGATGAATTCGTGCAAAATTTGTTCGTGAAAAGTTCCGGTGAAAAGTGAACTTGTTTAGCTATTGCTGCAGGGCCGTCGTTGATTGGTCAAATTTTACCGACATAAACATTGAGTCGGTTTAGCACGTGGCTTTCTCATCTGTACAAGGCGGGCATAATAGAAATCATGATACACTGGGGAGTATCGTGATGCAACAACACCGTGTTGTTGCATCAAGATGGCCAGACTTCCGGTGATAGATTTTCGTACGATATTTTGTTTCCCCAATTTAAACCCATTTCTAGGACGAGTTGCTCAATATCCATACACGTGAAGTTAGCACACGATCTATATTTAAAGAAACTGTCATTAGTATACATGTACCATCACCAAGAAGCAATAAGTTCACGGTTTTAGTTCCTCACTATTGATGCAACAACACCAAACCGAAGATGCAACAACACCCCGCTAGATTTGAGCAATGATGCAGCAACACCAAATAATAGTATAATTTCAGAAGACCATAAATCTCGAGAGGAACAGATTTTTAAATACTACTACTAGTATTGCAACACCGTTACCCATTACCCATATTTGCGTTCTTCTCAAGGCATTCAAAATACATGTCCTGCGGGCGAAGATCCTTTATATGTTTTTTCAAAAATCTATACTTTTAGATATTATAATGTACTGGACGTTGTTCTATAATATAGTTCAATCGCCTTTAACATGGCAAGCTTTAGTAACCCAATCTATTTTCATAAACCACTGTTCCATAGCTTGATGACCCTGACTCCAGTTAGTATCATTCAAAATGGTGGACAAACATCTTTCGTTCTCGGTAAACATGACGAGCTATTGGAAATTATCTCCGACTGAGTAAAGAGGTAAACAAAAGTGATAAGATTAAGGGCCCAAAAAGGTAAATTGATATGGGTACAGTTATCCCAGATATCCCGGGCCCTCGGGAAATATCATATTGTCTCTTGGAATAAAACCAATATTGAATCCCTCTCAGTAAATAACCTTTATATAATAGCATTGTATAACTGCAATATCATTAAACCAACACTCATCTTGAGAACGATGTACAACTCCTGGATAGCGTAAACTCATGAGCAGCGTATACAACTCTTCAACTTGATACATGACATCATACTTTGGGTGGGATAACAAAGGATATACAATATACAATTGTAGACCTCTCTTGAGGTCAACTGGCAAAATTGTATACCGATACTGTAATCCTTGAAAGTTCGGAGGTCGAGGTCAACAGTACTCTCAGGGTTTACTGTTGAGGTACACACTTTGGCCAGTTGACCGAATAAAGAGGTTAACAATTGTTTGTTAGTCCGAAGAATATTATCATTTGAAGGATATAATATACAATTGTAGACCTCTCTTAAGGTCAACTGGCAAAATTGTATACCGATACTGTAAACCTTGAAAGTACTGTTGATCAAGACCAGATGTCGAGGACACTTTTGCCAGTTGACCGAAAAGAGAGGTTAACAATTGTTCTGTTAGTCCAAATAATATAACAATTGGACGAATATATAATTGAATATCACGTGAACATATTTGATAAGTAAAGGTATCATATTTTAGCAAAAAATCCCCAAACCGTCGAATACTTGTAATTTTATACACAACTTGTTTTTTCAAAATTAAAAAAAATTCAACATTAAAAAACAATTTTTCAAAAATAGCGGTCAACAGTACCTAGTAGTGGTCAACAGTTTACAATTGTTGACCTCCTCAGAGGTCAGCCGGCAAAATTGTATACCGAGACTGTAAACCGAAAAACTACTGTTGACAGAGACCGAAGGTCGAGGTCAATAGTAGTTTCAAGGTTTACAGTCGAGGTATATGATTTTGACGGTTGATCGAATGGAAAGGTCTACAATTGTTTTGTTAGTCTGAAGAAACTAATAATACACATATAGACGACAATCATCAATCGGCATGGCTTCATTTCACAACCTTTTCTCCGAACCACGTTAGCAATATTTTTTTAGAAAATTTGGAGACAGTGCAAGTAGCTTAATTCTGTATTAATGACATTAATTTTAAGTTTCTATTTGTATTTTTGCTATACTTGTCGCCTAGTAAAGTCATTTTCATCAACGTTTACAAAATGTCCGTCTTCCATGTTTTTTTGTGACATCATGAAACTTTTTTTCAGAAGTAGCGGTCAACAGTAACTAGTAGCGGTCAACAGTATACAATTGTTGACCTCTCCAGAGGTCAACCGGCAAAATTATAAATTGTATACCGAGACTGTAAACCGAGAAACTAATGTTGACAGAGACCGAAGGTCGAGGTCAACAGTAGTTTCAAGGTTTACAGTCGAGGTATATGATTTTGACGGTTGACCGAATGGAGAGGTCTACAATTGTTTTGTTAGTCCGATTGCGAAGAAACTAATAATACACATATACACGTCAATCATCAATCGGCATGTTTTCATTTCACAATCTTTTCTCCGAACCACGCCAACAATATTTTTTTTAGAAAATCTGAAGACAGTGGAAGCTGAACTCTCTGTTTTCGGTACATCACTGGGTACTCATTAGAACATTTATGTTAATTTTATGTTTCTATTTATATTTTTGCTATACTTGTCGTCTAGTAAAGTAAAAATATCACGTTTACAAAATGTCCGTCTCCCATGTTTTATATATAAACATTATGACGTCATGAAACTTTTTTCAAAAGTAGTGGTCAACAGTACCTAGTAGCGGTCAACAGTGCATATTATTATATACCCAA